ACCCTAAACCCTAACCCTAAACCCTAAACCCTAAACCCTAAACCCCAAACCCTAAACCCTAAACCCTAAACCCTAAACCCTAAACCCTAACCCTAAACCCTAAACCCTAAACCCCTAAACCCTAAACCCTAAACCGTAAGCCTGAACATCCACAACATCCTTAGTGAAGGAAATTCAACAAAGTGAAATGAAACGCCCTCATTTCTGTATGCAAAATGAGCTCGAACATCAACACTACGGTGCAAATAGCTTAAATAAATTCTCGACAGACCATACTTAATTCATAGACCTCAAACCCTAAATTCCTAAATAACGATAAACCCGAACAGCCCTATTAAACCTTGCAGCGCCGAAAGCACCCTGGAGGCCCAACACAGGCGGAACCCTCATGATATACCCCATCACTAAACCATCAAGCCTCAAACACGACCGTCAACACCCCAAATGAAACCCTAGACTCTCTCACCCCCCAACGCAATCAGAAACTCGACCAAGGCCAACCACCAACAACCGCAGCATACAACAAAACAAAAAGAATACCCTAACCCTAACATAAACCCTAAACGCCAAAACGCCCTCATAACACCAAAAACCCAAGCACCCTAACCATCCCTAACCCAAAGGCGCTTAATTAACTTGATTATAACACTAAAGGACTCCAAGCACCCCGCGATCCTAAGCCTGAAAACCACACAAATAAGCACCAAAAAAAACACACACTAGACCCTTAAGAAACCCCTTTTCTAAACCCAACCCAAAACCGCGAATTCCAAAACCCTGAACATAAAACCTAAACCGCCAAAAGGAACCCACATGCCAGAACCCCGATCTAAACTACAATAACAACAAGAACAAGAAGAATAAGAAGAAGAAGAAGAAGAAGAGCTACAACAACACCAACACCAAAACCAACTCCAGCACCATCACCAACTCCAGTTCCAGCACCGGCACCACCACCACCACTACCACCAACACCATCACCAATATCAACACCCAACATCAACATCAACATCACCATCAACACCGCCACCACCACCAACATCAACACCAGTACCAGCTCCACCAACACCAGCACCAGCTCCACCAGCTCCACCACCACCACCACCGCCACCACCCACCACAGCAACATAAGCATAACGACCACAAACAACAACATCAACATAAACTTAACAAACTAACAACGAACTAAGTCAGCAGAAACAGCATTCACGACCAAGCCCTGCCCGACACAGAACCACCCTCCCCGCCACCCTCCGTGACCGGCGCCAGGCTCGGAAGAAAGCAACCCAGAACACTCCAGAAGGGTAGACCAAGCTCACTCGCCGTGAGTCTCACTCTTCCTCGCCGGCTCCGGGTCGTGTGTCCGGCCTCTCGGCGCTCTCGATCATGGACGGGCCATGGAAGCCAAACCAGAGGGCTCTCCCAGGAGGGTCGGCCATGGAATTGCTTCCCCAAAGGGCGCTGCCAAGAAAGAGGTCCACACTAGCATCACCGGGTCTTTGGATGAGCCCTCCTGCACAGCCAACCGCGAGGTCCAGCCCCACCCATCTCCCACAATCCAGTATTCGGAGTGGTTACCGACACGGGGCCAGCTGAGCTGCCTTTCGTGCCGGATGATGAGAGGACGAGTGGTTAACTGAGAGTGTCTGGCGCCACAATCCTCTTCACCACAAGTGCCAGCGCACAGAAGCCCACCAGCCCACCGACCCGCTCCGACATACCAAGCAGGCAACAAACGATTCACCAACAGGCCAGGCAGGAAAAGTCCATCAACAACGCCTCCAACCACTTCATCCCGCCATTAGTTACAGCCAAGTCAAGCATCCATGCACCACATCAGCAGCAAACAAAGACTCCGTAACAGTCCGAAACGTTTACGTGACCCTGACGTATCCCGTAAAATACAGAACCGGGACCACATCTCGAAGTGAGACTGGTGCTTGGTCCCGCACGCCAGAGTTGGTGGTTGTGAATGCTTTTCTGCGTTGAGCAGCTATAGGCTAGAGCGTAAAAGAATGACCGTGGTTTGCGCAGTAATCTGGACTTGTTCGCCTTCTGTTCCCGTAGACCTCCGGAGCCTTGTGCCGCTCCCACCTTTCAAAACGTTGTGTTCATAAATGGCCCAGGCTTCGAAACAGAATAAACAAAAGGGCTGCCAGGGGTTCCCGAGGCTTGAAGTCAAAGGCATACCTGAACTGAGACTTGCGTAAGCAAGGGATCGTATCCGAAACTCGCAGCGGGAAGGATCCTCATTCCAAGGACGCAAGTGGAAGCGGAATCGTCACAAGGGCGAAAGCCGTGGCGGCACAGGCCTGTGGCTGGTGGGCACTTGGATAAGACGGGCTTCTCGCAGCCTGAGATAGCGTGTAGATAGCGTATAGCCGAAATATACCGTAAGAATGGGTTTGCCAGGTTGGTTTAAACTGCGAGTGCCAAGCAAACATCTGCTCCGGGTCGCGCTTAGGAGTTCCTTCTTTGTTGGCGTCAGTCAGTTAGAGCTCTCTCCGGCAAATGATCCTGCATGTGCCATTGACCTCGAAACTGGAGTATGTGTAGTTTCACTGATTGGAGAGCTATGCTACCGATTGGGCTTCGTATGAGTCTGGCAACACACTGCACTTGACAAGAACTTCAACACACCACTTTGAAGCGCTTCTTTCGCAATGTTCGTATTCTGGACTTTCAGATTTGCCGTGCAACACTTGTTGCACTTTCCAGTAGTGGCAGGTTTCTCCATCATTCTTACTATCGCGGGATCCCACATGCCACCTCATAGACTCCGTGAACCTCCGGATCTACAGGATCCTACCACCCCGGCCCACAGCGAAGAGCTGGCAGCCATGGAGGAGTTGCACCGCGCTAAGCCGGGAAACGTCGGCGCATCGTGGAGGTGCCCCTGCCATAGGTTTTGTCCCTCCTAGGAAAGTGTCAGCATTCGAAAGGGTTTAATGTTTTGTCCCTCCTACATGGATCTACATAGCAAGGACGAGGCGGGTCTGTCGGAATTGGAACAGGAAGCTCCGGCCGACGCTCATCGTGGCGCTCTGGGAAACGGAGCCCATGCCAGTGTCTGCATCACCTAGCAGCACCCGCAATAACGACCTGTCGCTACTGACTGCATCACTTCCGTCCACGATTCCAAGTCACGACGTGCATGATGGCATGCGTTTTCGGATACCGCAGTCTTAGCCTGTTCAATCATGTTAATTTATGGCTTTCTTGCAAACGTCATCTTGTGAGTATTTCGCGCTGACGGATGCGTAGAATCAAGCAAACCAACAACGAATACCCATCTACATAGTTTGCTCCGAGGGCCCGTGGATGTAACGCCACCAACTCGCAAGATCTCTCAACTGTGCTTCCAGTTTCGCACAGGCCCACGTAGCCTCTTCTAGATGCGCTGAGCAGCCATCAAGTTCCAAAATCACTGATGCTGCCGCTGCGACTTGGTTTGAGTTTCTGGTGTTGCAAAGCTGCAACTTGCGAATCGATCGGCATGAACTCGCAAGGTTCAAAGGGTTTAAACCCTTCAATTTACTTAAACCCTCGCGGGGGTCAAACCCTTCAATTCACTTAAACCCCTCAATTTACTGAAACCCTGACCTTGGCGAAGCCTCGCGGGGGTCCTTTTGTTTGGAGTCGGCCCCTCGTGCTCCAGTTACTCCAAGCAGCGCGCAGACGCGTCTGCTGTAGCCTAAACCCGAAGCTTTCGAACATAACAGGAAGGAAGCAAGCAGTAAATACTCTTCCGAAACCCTTGCTTGACAACCCTTACACCTTAAACACTTGGCAACCAACCCCTAACCCTAACACCTTGATCAAAAATGCGCACTGAACAACTCCATCATACAAACCGAAGTGTTCAGCAAACTTGGACCCAACTAAACAACTTGCGTCACGCAAAGGGGAAGTCTCCGTGCGGCAGCCTCACTCCGCAAATGCTGGGCACTACAGCCTGCCCCGCGGTGTCCGACCACCGAAGGATTTCGGGGAAACACATGAAAACTAAACTCAAGCAACAGAGACCTCGATTTTGATCCACCGCCATTGGAAAAGAATAGTGCCGAACCCAAAGATGTCTTACAATCATCTAAGTTCGCTATTGATGTCGTCGTTTTCCAAATGCAAGCATTCCACCTGCTGATGGCCACATGTGGCCACCCCCAGACTCCTGAAGATTTCTCAAGCAGCAAGTTGCAGTTGTACCAATCCCCTCCATGACATGTTCCTCCAAGCGCACACGCTGAACATGGTTTGCACTTCAATATTGCGAGCTTTCGAGCGCAGGAAATGCGCATAGTTTCTTGATTAGTTCAGAAGCATAACTCATTACTGCAAAATGGGCAAAGTCTGCCTGTGGAGGTAAGCCAGGTAAGCACAACTAGTTTGGGTCGAGATGCGACTGAGCCACACACGGTCAGTCGTAGCTGTGCCCAGTGCCCTTTGCAAGTAAGGTCCCAGCACGGCTTTTCCTTCTGCAGCACCCGCCCTGCTACGCGCTGAGACCTGAATATCTTCATGCAGGTTCTGAGTTGGATGCGATCGTTTAAGGTTCATGTTGACGACAAGTCAGAACACCACGGTTCCTCCTACAGTACTTCTTATACTTGCCTGCCCATGCCGTGTGAGGCTGGCAGCTGATAAAAGGTTGGTGGGGTCGAGGTCACCGGCATGTGCGGATTGCAGGAAGATGCAGGAAGCTACGAAGTTACAAGTACCGGTATGTCCGGCAGCTCGGACCGATAACATCCAGGTCTCCGGTAGAACAAGCCTGCCGTGTGTAGGAATCAAGCTCTTGCCGTGGCTTAGGGCACCTAGACGTGATGTTGTCACACCTGGCTCTGAGATTGGACTCGACCCTTTTCTGTCACCGCATCGGCTTTGCAGAGCGTGCAGATTCACCCTATCATCACTCGATATGCAACAGCATGCTGAAACATACGAGGCTTCTCTGCTGGGAACGATATGTCCGAGTCCTTTTCCAACTTGCTACAGCAGCCTCACGGAAGGCTGGCTGCGCAGTAGGTTCTTGCCTGCTGCGAAATCGGGATGGACACATCTGGGCGAAACGATGATGAATTACATCATGGATGTGATGCCTGCCAATTGCAGGAACGATGCGCGCAGTTTGAAACAAGTGTCCGATGCTGCGGCAGTTCCCATGAAGATCTGGCTGCAGCTAGCTCTGTCTTACCCACGTCAAGCCCACCCGCTTCGTGCCGTGCCTCATGCGCATACTGTCGGTGAATGAGACGGAGCTCGTCTGCATGTTGTGCCATCCTCTTTTGCGGGTCCGATGACAAAACACGACATGCCGCTCTGTTTGGGTACTTGCGGTGTTTCCGCCCACCTGTATGAATGCGAATTGTTTCTGAGTTCCGAGTCGCACCCCAACAGCACTCAACACAGTCAGGCACTGATGAATCAAAGACACGATGCAACACCACAAGGATAACTCTGCCAAGACTCTGTGAAGCAGCAAAACCTCGGTACAAACAAGTGGCCAAAGTCCACATGTGCTCTGCAAACAACCGGCATCGGCGACCATCGCTTCGGAAAACCGGATGCCGTTCCCGTGCTTTTGTGGCGAGCTACAGGCACCCACAATCAATTCGCTGCCATTCCCGTCATTTGGCAGCCGGTTGGGATACGGGAAGCAGCACTTATCTCCAAATGCAGGCCGATGTTGAATTACCCATGGGATCAATGAAATCGGCACAGAGTATGCTCCTCAGTATGCGGTCCTAGGTCTTGATCAACGATGCCGGGAGTTAGGGCGCAAGCTTGTCGACAGCATCGCAGGTTTCGGGTTCCTCATCGCAGTTCTGTATCTTATCGAATTGCAAACTTTTGCCAAACTGACTTTCAGAACAAGGTGTGTGTGTGTGTGTGTGTGTTTGGTTTAGTTCACAAACTTACTTTGTCCATTACAATGGCACCGCTGAGTGCCTGCCTATCCTGCTCTTTGCTTCCCACTACAGCTGCCGTCACATCCGCTGGCTCATGGTCTTCCGATCTTAGTGATGCTTGGAGCATGTATGACGTTGATACACATTGGAAACTGTTCAAACGATTTTGGTGCCTGCGCGTCGTGATCCGTGAAGTACAAAATGCGCCCTGCTTGGATGTGTATGGAGTGAACACCAGCCGATCAAGAAGTAGTTGGCGGACAGGAAAACCTCATTGGAATGTGGCACCGCGCTCCAGAATCGTCCCAAACGCTGAGCATTTTTCATTCCGTATTGTTCATCGATACTGCACGGTTCAACCGGTCACCATGGATTTTGCCTGCCAGTTCCATCCGAATGATGGAGAGTTTTTCAACAGGTCAAGGTACTTCTTTCCGTCAATAGTGCATCAGGCACCGTGCCCTGCCAAGTCGCAATAAATTCTTGCGCACACCTTGTCGGCTGGAATTACCGGCGACATTTGGCGCCTGCGATGGGATCACAGTGGTCTGCAGTTGTTTCGTCGTAGTTGCTGCCAGTAGGGAACTTATCGCTTCTGGGCGCCATTCGACTCGTATACCCTTTCAAAGTTTGTGGTTGCCTAGCGGCAGCAGAGAAACACGGGCACCTTGAAAGCAGTTTTTTGTTGAGGTTTCGACTCAAACACTCGCTAATGCAGGATGGCTTGGTCGTGGTTCAGTTTTCTTGTTCGGGCATCAGCTGCAGGCAAGCTGGCTGCTAGACTTTGTCTCGCTTGATCTTGATGGTTCAATTTCTTGGATGCCATGGACTGTTGTCACCGCTTTGGCTTGCTGCGACAGCTTAAATCTAATTCACACGTCGAACATCATAACTGGTAAACCAAACTGCGGCGCGGGAGGAGGACGACGATGTAACGACGTAAACTATTGTCAATCTCTGCATATGCCCCCATGCAGTGTACATGTGACTGTCATCGGCAAACTCTTATGGTCATGGATCTTTCAGCAAAACGGAAGCGTCAGCAGATTGCCATGTAATTGAAGCTCTGGGCTTTGCCTCTTGCCATATCAATGCATGTACCACTGGACGTCTCCAGTAGCCTCCCACCTGGCTGTTCAGCTTGTTAGACCAGGTTAGCGGCAAGGTGCCTGGTCCCCCTGAATACGCGAACAGAAACGAGATGACCCACTACAAGTGAAACCGAGAGCAAAGAAAACCGACATTCGAAGCCGACGGTTCGAAGATGACAACAACAACGACTCAGGGTTTATCGATGTGCAGCAAAGTTTCAAAAAATCCCTTCATGAGTTATCAAGACTGGCATTGGCGGTCATGTTCACACCCTGACGACGGCGACTAGGGGCGACGAGGCGGATTCTAGCGAATGACCCGACGACAACGAAGCTCATACTCCTCATCAGCGACACAATCCAAATGACCGGAACCCTTCAAACCACTCCAGTGTGTGTGTGTGTGTGTGTGTGCGTGCGTGTGTGTGTGTACACGTATTACCTACACATGCGGAGCCCATGTTTGTACCCCCCAAGCCCACGCCCGAGCCGATCATGTACTGCATCCACCGCAAGATCTACCATCTGCCTGGGTTCAGGTTTCGAATCAATAAGCGATGTCGCTCTTATTCCAAAGGACTCCTTCCCTGGTTTGCAAAAATCGAAGCTCTACAAGAAAATCCAAAGTTGCGAACCTTTGAATGCTTCCAAAATGTCAGAACCTAGCAAGTACACACTAAATTCCAGGACATAGTGGAGTTACTGTTGGAAACTCTGGAGATGTCGGCGATATTGAAAACATCCAGAAATTCCCAAACTGTCAGAACCTAGTACACATGATGTTGCGAAACATAGTGGCAAACTCGTCAGAAATTTGAAAAATGAAAACTTTAAATGCGTTTTGATAATTCAGAAAAGTGGGAGTTTTTTGGAATTCGCGTTTTGGAAGCTTCGGTAATTTTGAAACTTTCGGGCGCTGGGAAAACGATTCCACGGCTCGGGATGGGTTTCTGTTCGTAAGTATTCCTTAAATTCAGGACTTTTGCTGATCTTTTGGGTCTCGTATGGATCTAGTTCGAATCTCGGTTGTAACAGCATACCGACCACATATTTTTGTGCAACCGAAGCACGCAACAAAAGGGGCAGCAGGATGATATATATATATATATATATTCAGTACACGTGTGGAAGCGCTCGACTGAGGGACTGCCACATGTCGCCACTTGCAGAAAAGCACAGGTTTTTCATTCAGGTGTTTCTAACCTGCTAATGCTCAAGAATGCCAGCTTTAGCAGCGACCATCAATATATGTAACATGATGGCATGTCTCTTTTTTCTGCGGCCTCTATCTCGTTACCATTCGTGACCCTATTGGATGCAAGCCCATGGCCGCTTCAAACAAATAACTTCACCATCTATCAGACCACTAGATTCGATGCAATCTCACGGCCTTTGCAATATTTTGCAATCGTGCCAACGGTGTACCATCTGAAGGTTATTCTGCAAAGACCTTATCGTTGTCGGACACGTAATTCGTGTTGAGGAGCGAAGAGTTAGTAGGTGGAAAGACTTTGTCGGCGATTGAGCGTTGGGCTTTGGATGCCTCGGGGGAGGCGCTCACGCTCGCACCGAATGATTGGCCGGACCAGGTCAAGTCTGCTTGTTCCTGACACGTTGGTAGCAAGGGCCAGAGATGAGCACAGGCTCAGGGGTGTAATTCCAGAAGACATGGACGGTACCAATAGGGAAAATGCACAAATCTCTTGCTATCGAAAAAGATTCAGCAAAGCGGTACTTTAGGAGGGGATCTCAAGATGTGCCTTCGGTTTCCAAGCAGTGGCGGTTTGTCCTATACTGGGACAGGAGTGTGCTCCGGCGAGATTAATGCGGGAAGAAGGATTGAAAGGTCAAAAAGCACAACAAGAATCTGTGCGAGGAAGCTCGGAGGATGCACGAGCTGGAGAATGCGGTGCAAGCCTTGATGAATGGAGACGGAAGCAAGCATGATCAGATTCGTGAACATGAAATTCGGGACTTCATGGTTTTCCGGCATCTTGTCCCGGCCGGCACGTTTGTCTCCGTGCGCGAATCAGGTGCAGCTTCCTTTACTTGGAACGTTCGTGGATTCCGGCTTGACTTTGCTTTTTGTTGCTCGGTGTTTCGCCCGGAGTGATCAGGCAGAACACATCATGCACACAACGCCCAAGAACCTTGAGCAACCGAACCGATGCACCAGCCAATCATTACAAGTCTGGAAGAAAACAACCATTCTTGCCATGCAGCAGCAGCAAATGCAGTCGTCCCACTCGTCGCTCGCCTGGACGACTCGATGCTTATATATAGCTTTAGCTGTAGCGCTGCCTGCGCAACTCTGGGCATATCAGGGTCGGATTAAGTAGGTGCATGCTCCCAGAAGAGCTACCGACACTTCACCAGTCAACCGGTCTAAAATGCACGGACCGAAAACAAAGCTAGGGGCCGGGCGCGATGAAACTCATCCTGCATGGCATCGTCAATACATGATCGAACCGGTATTCGGCCATGACGAATCTTGAACTGCTTTGTCTAGCCTTCAGTACCTGAAAATCTGCTGCGAAAGCCTTGAAAGCCTTGAGAACCTGTGAGAGACAAGATAAAAGTGGGCCTTACTTATGCTATTCAACGGGTCCTGAATCAGTTTGCGGTTGCCGATAATCGCGAAAGGGGTGCAGCAAAAAGCCTGCACAAGTTCAGGGCAGTTGGCCCTTCAAGGAAGTGTACAAGGCAGGGCCACCCGAAATGGCTCCTGATGAAGCCGAAAGATAATTGTCCCAACTCTAGCACGTTTCAGCCTAGTTTACAGGATGAGGATGCTGCAGTTCGAGGGCAAATGTCGCCGACTGAACGGCCAGCCGAAGGTTACGAAACCGTTCGCATGAAGGGGCGCCCATCTCTGTCTTTGTGTTGCCTTTCTTTCGGTCCGCGGTTTCCCTCCAGCTCATGCTTGTGCACACCCGTTGCCGTCATCGTCCTTGTTGTGAACCTCACCCCTCGCGTCAACCTGCTCGCTTGCCAGCTGGAGCTTATCCAAAGTCGGTTCGATCAGTTCTGGGATCCGTTAGCACCCACAGCCAAAACAGACTAGCTCAGTTTGGATGTGGGCCCTCATCTTCAACTGGAGAAAAGGCCGCGAGAGCCGGGGAAGGAAGCGTAGCAGCGACAGGCTGGGGCGACCCGTCAGCAGCACAGCAGCAGTGAGAATGTGGCAAATTATGTATAGGTGATAAATTCCCTGAGTGTAATGAAATATTCGGGCCGGCATCCTATTGGGTCAAGGACGTATTGGCAGTGATGTGCTCAGAAACGTCGAGGCAACCCAGTCTTCACTAAATGAAACAGTTGATGTGGGTTTCTCTTGCACAAGAAGCGCCAAGCTGCTTGGCATGCGCCGGCCAGAAACTTGCCAATACACCCCACACAACCCCAAACGGGCGCCGCAAAAGCCGCAACACACTGCCGGGCATGCAACCGCAAGGTCGGCTGTGGCACACCGTGCAGAAGTGTAACTTGTCAGAATGCACACTGGCTAAGCAGATGCGTGCGCAACAAGGAAATACTGTAAGCCGCCGTGCTGCCAACTGCCCAGAAACTAGTGCCGATCTTGCCGGGTCGAGACAACAGGCATGCACTGAGCAAAAGCAGTTTGACAAGGGACCTTCAGGTAGGCCTGTGCCGCCCAACCCACCCTCTAACTTTGTACAATACCACTGCTAGCTGGTGGGGGGGAGTAAAGTCCCGTCCTGAAGTGCCTCTGGATCAATCATTTGCTCGTTTGTGCGGGGGCACCGTTTAACTATTGTGCAAGGATCAGGTAAGGTCCCAGACACGATTTTGACCTGGGTCACCACGACTTAGGTGAATGAGTAAACGACAACTCCTGCAAGAAGCTCAGTGCAAGCTTCACGGAACCAGCTTTCGTGATTTGTCAGTCTCTCTCTCTCGTTCTTTTTCTTCCTTCGCCATAGACTCTTTCCCCAGGCCTGAGGGCAAGCCCCCGCGGGAGCTGCCCGACTGTTGGTTGTACGCACGGTATTACGTGCGATAACGCTTCGCTACCCCGTGGGCGGAGCCTGTTCCACAGTTTAACGCATCCCTATCACGTCCTCTCCCCCTCTCATGATCGTCTCGGCTTCTCTCCTTAGGCTCACGAGGGTCCTTGGTCTCACTCATTGCAAAACTGATGCAGTGCAGCGCAGAGCAGCAAGGAAAGGCAGGCCGTTCAAAAGGACTCAAGGCTGAGTCAAAGCAGTGCAAGGAAAGGCAGACAGTGCGAAGGAGAAGTAACAGAGGAGCCAAGGAAAGACAAAGAAGACAGAGAGACAGGTGTGGAGCACTTTGCACATTTGCTGTGTGTATGACGTGTCACTGGAGCCGAAACTTGAGCCATAGCCATATATATATATATATATATACATATTTGTACGCCTATCAAGCTCGAAATCGGTCTTGGCAAGCATATGCTGCTAAGCTATGACTATGGTGCAAGCAGGGTGCAAGATTTGCGTTTCAAATCGCCACGGATTAGCCGTACTCACATATTCTAGTGGCTACCCCGAGCGCCAAGGCCAATGCCAACAACCTATTGTCATCCCACCTCGAGAAGCACTCCGGAGATTGGTAAAGGAAAAGGCCTCATGGACGTAACCAAGGCGCACATACCATTGGACATCATTGGAGCATCGCACTGGAAGTGCGAACAAAACACCAATGAAAACAAAGGCCCGGGCTCCTCCAGAACGGGGCAAGAACGCCCACCTCAGTCATGGAACGAGGCTTTTTATCTTACGCTAACCAAGCTTGCGCATGCACGCGCGTTCACGCCGACTTGCACCCGAATCGACCCCCGCCCCACGCCCTAACGATGATGCAAGGTGTTAGTTTCCATCAAAACACTTTGTTTGGCGCTGGAAACGAGGTTGTGAGCTCGCTGGCCTTTTGAAGTCTACAGCGCGGTAGACAGGCTTCCCTAACGGAGAAGCCTCGGACTCTTCAGCTGTTATGCTATGTTGAACGGCTCAAAGCTTTCAAGCAAAGACTCCTTCTCTAACTGCCCCTTCTACACCCTACACTGACGTGTCCGCGGCACATCGGCCAAATAGGCAGCAGCCCCAATCCTTGGGAGTCGAAAGAACAGGGACAACACTGAATTCACCACCAAGGGCTTCGGGCGCTACAAATGTACACATGTCTATGTACACAGCGCCAACTTGCCGGGCTAACTGCCTGTGCATTTGACAGGTCTACGTGTCTGGTCTATGCGAGTCTACACACCTCCATACACTTGTCGCGACATTTAGTGGCTCAGCGAAGCAGCCCCTCCGTTCTGCCCTGCATTGCATGCATGGCAGAGACACAAATCACGAAGAGTTTGTGAATCTTTTTGATTTCCCTCTCGCATTGTATCAAAGCCTACAGAAGAGGCTGACTTTGAGACACAAAGTTCGCTATGTTGAAAGAAGTTTTGATAAGTGAAGCAGCCATAGCATGCCTTCAGCAGTTGCAGGATCTCAGCTGGTGAGAATAGGCAGGTGGGTTATCCGTGCGGGGCACCCCAATCGGCCAATCGTTGGGTTCGTATCCATACCTGCTTCCAACGAATACAAACTACTCGCTGTTCCGATGAAGAAAAGCTGTCCGATGCAAGTGCAGTGCCGCACGGAGCATTCGACTCGCCGATGTTGCGCAGCAAATCGACCACATCCAGTTCGGCAAATGGTTTGTTTACAAACCCAAATGCAAACAGCTAGGGCCGCGTGAAAATCTTCGACTCCGTGACGCTGAAGAGCAAGGCAGCATATTCTGGATTTGATTTGCTTCAGCAAAGACTCGGCAAAAAGACCACCGCAGCAAACATAGTCCAGATTCGCCAAGCGTAGAATTTCCTCGGAATTTATCTAGCCCAACTACGATAAATGGGCAACGCATGTCGGGCCCATCAGGGCATGCCAAGACAAGCCATCTTGCGTGGGGAGAAGTATAAATAAAACCAAAAGGTTGAAACTGAAAAGCCATGCACAAAGCACAGCTGATACCCCATGCAATATTTGGCCAGGTCACCTGTCGCTGCTGACATGCCGTACAGCATGGGCACGCGCAAGACAAGCCTCTTGGTCCAGGTTTTGCCACCAAAGAGCTAGGGGCCCCATCTTGTCAAAACTGCACTTTTTTTTGAGCAGGGACTGCAATGCACCAAGCCCTGAAGCCCTTCAGCCAAGCACTGCACTACACCCTTAAACCCGGGGCGGTCGTAAGCTTCCAGGGAAAAGCCGGATGAAGTACTTGTTAACAAATGAAGACACGTCAATTCCGGCAAAGTCTTCGCAAAGTGTATTGTCAAGACGAGCTCGTCGTCCTTCTCTGTGATATCCATCTCTTCCAGTCTCTTTCGAGGGGATGTTCTGATACATTTTGCGGGGCTCTGCTACAGGATACGAAAGGTCCACGGCATCTCGAAACTGAACGAGCTTGGAATTGGGTTTGACATGGCTTCAGCGAGTTGAGGGCCAATCACAGAATACTTTGCCACATGCACAAAGGTGATTGGGCTAAATGTATTGAATGTGCATGATTACGAGGGAACAGCAGCAGCTTTCCATAAGTGCAATTGCTTGCCAGGTAGAGCTTGCTGGCATCGATCCCAGCGTATTTACTTTAAAGAATTCCTCTAGAATCGGGGCACATCGTCGGATTCCCAGTTCATCCTGAGACTGAAGAATTAAACTCTACACACTGTGGAACCTCGACAAACACAGTATGACATGCAGCAGAAGCTCCAAATACTGCAACCACGCTGCAGCATGTGCCAGGCTCCTGTCGTGTCTTGCATTCTCATTAAGAAACAGCTGGTCCCTGGCCATCTGCAAAAGGCTCATCACCGATGGTGCTTTCAGATTGGCCCGGAAGACTGTGATCTATGAACGCTGACGATCCAGGCCTTGCACGGGGCTGTCAAAGGCGATGTCCTCCACGAATCCTCTCTGATGCCTCAAGGATGGCTGCTGTCGACCAGTCCACATTTTACACTGCCTCTCTCTCCTACGAGCACTTAACACCGCTGATTCGACTCGTTCCTGGAAAGACCCCATACGGGTTGCTTCTGAAGATTGTTTTTTATGTCATATGCAAGGACGAAAGGAACAACCGCCGCTGGAAAACCTGACACCCCGCCGTGGTGCGCCTACGAACAAGCCCTTTGCGAAGCCTCTCTGCCCATCGGCCGGTAGAAGACTCCAAACAACACACCGACCGAACCAGACCCACAAGATCACAACGACAACCTGGCAAAAACGGGAAGGACGGACTGGAAGCCACTGATCGCTTCGAACTGGCCTTGCTTTCTGGCAGAAAGTGGCCCCGAAGAAAAGCAAATTCGAGGCTATCACGACTTTATGAATGGGCCGAAACAACAACAACACGGCAAGCGTGTCAAATCACCGTAACTGCTGAGTCGCTGGCTGGATCCACTCCTGAACATACCTGGGCAAAGTGGCGGTGGGCGAGGTTCACAGATCTTTGCTCGGGGGGGACTCGCAACTGTCGCGGCGCCAAATTCTTCACTCCCTTTTGCGCAGCCTGAACCCCTGCTAAAAGTCGCATCTTTCGTGACATCCCTACGGTTTTGCCAAGCAGAGGCGCGAATCTGCAAAATGCCTTTGGCAGGATGTTTGACACACTTTCAGCACTGCAGTCATCGGGGAGTACTTGGCCCATCGGGCTGAGCGAGGTCTGTAACAGTAATATTTTGGAATTGTGACACTACGAGTTGTCTGCACCTTCAAGATGTTCGAGAATTCCTCGTCTTGCTTAGCAGGCCGGCAACAGCAGCTTGCAGATTCGTTGCCGGTTCTCAGCATTGAAGTCATATGTGGCTTGCGTCCATCAGGGTAGGCTCCGTGGGTGAATTGTGGGTGCACGGGGGTGACCGTGGTGGGTGGAGCTCAAGTGGTGGCCATGGGTGGACCTCCGCAGTTCGTTTCTGGGGCAACTGGGTAGTAGCATGTCCGATCGATATTACGAGTCTTTTCCGAATCAGGATGCGATTTGCTGGCTTCTCAACAGGCTCGGGTGTGTAATCAGCAGTGTCTTCCGATCACAATAGGGTATTGCTGCTATTTTGCTCGAGCTTTTTGCCTTCCGAACCGCACGGAAGCTCAAACGAAGATGTCACATGGTGCTTTCGCACGCCTCGCACCATCACATTCCTAGTAGCTTCTCACGTTTCTGGCAACGATGACGATCTTATGTGTCGCGTGAACTTAAAGGCAGGAATTTCCATCGAGTTTCTGCGCCAGCAACAACCCTTCGGGGAATGGTTTATCTGGTCCAGTGGTAACTTCAACATTTCGGCAACATTCTGCCGGTGCAGGGCAGGGGACACGACACAGACCAGGAGATGTCCGCATCACAAATCTTAGCAACCTCGCAAGTGCAGGAACGGGTGCCATAGCTTACTTACGACAGGGAACATGCGCAGAACAAAGCCGGGGAGGGACGCACCAACAGAAAATCACAGGGAATAAGAAAAATGCCCAGCCCATGTGCACAGTCTTTGTGCAGCACCGAGCCGAGGCCAAGGTGCACAGTGCGTCGCATGCATCGCCAGCATCGCCGAAATCCTTCGCATCAACTGACAAGGGCCAGCCAACCCAGAAGAAAAGCTTCGACCCCCAGATTGCTTTCAGAAATTTCGTCGCTTCTCTGCTTGGACTGCGAGCCAGGATACTTCTCCTATGTCCGGCTACGTAGGCGCTGGATGTGTCAAAGTGCATGTCGAACGATCGGGCTCGAAAGGCGTCCAAGGCTTAGAGCTTCGACTGGCGCACTCGTTCAAAGCTTGTGGGCTTGTGGGCCGTGTTCGACATTGAGGACATAGTGCTCTCGCCGTTGCAGTGGGGTGCAAGACCTGATCTATCTGTGCTGGGCATGTGCAAAGGACCCATCACTGATCCACGTTTCAGCCAAGTCCTTGACCATCCTGACGGCGAGGGCCAGGGAAGACCTCGTCACCTTCCAAAACGGCCGGATTCAGTAGTTCTCCGTAGACTCTATAGCCTGCCCATCGCCAACTGGACTCAAGCTAAGACTTCGGCAGGAAGTGACCTGACATAAATCGTAACTCAGCGAATTTTGAGCCAAATGATAGCAAGCGGCAAGTCTATTGCAGAGGATTCGTCAACACACACACACACATAGACAGAGACGCAAACGCAGAGAGTGGCATCCCATATGGCCCTCTGAGGCAGGTCGTGCTCCGTTACCAGAATGAGCAATCAATCTGGATCGCCGGTCGCTGGTCTTGAGCCAATGCCAGAGGACATCAGATCATTCACCAATGCATGCATTCTAGGGATGGTGCCATTTAGCACGTGAACCACGGACTAGGGACCACAGGAGAAACAAAAAGTAGCTAACACGCCAAACCAATGGAGTGCCAACAACACGCCCTCCGTTGGCGTGGTCTGAAGCATGTGAGTTTTAAGGTATGAGATTTGAAATTTGGATTTGCATCGCCCGCATCGCGAAGTGTGTTTGTGGAGGGTGTTGTGTTTAGAGTTGTTGTGTATAAACTCATAACAATTTGCTGATGGATAACAACAACAACTACTACAACTACTACTACTACTACTACTACTACTACTACTACTACTACAATCAGCTGCTTAACTGCGATGACTACAGAACTGCAGGTTGATCCGCGCTGAGAAGCTGACTGCATTGCATGATGCCAGTTGCTCTTCCCACAACAAGCGGCCGGGGGCAAAGCTACAACTGGATTGATAGCTGCCGTGGCGGACTTGCACATGTGGATGGCAAGCGACCACCTTGACGTATGAGGGGGGCGTGAACGAATCAGATTAGCATGACACACACCTGGTCAACCAGAGCTTCATGATCTCTGATGGGCGAAGCTGCAGCTTTTCCGCAGACATCCGGAGGGCGCCTATTACGCTCTACCAGTGAAAGCCGACCTGACTCGCCGCAGCCTTCGCCTCTGTGTCTCAGAGATGCTTGAAGATGCCAGAAGGTGCTGTGCCTGCAGCAAAGATGTCCAAGATATCAGAGACCGGGAACTCCTGCATCGAGCTGAGCAAGCTGAGCAGTGAGTAGGGGGACAGTCTCTCTATGTCTCTCTTGAAGCGCAATGGCTGCCCAAATTGATCATGTGGTGTCTAGATGGAAAGCATCAGAAGAAACGGAGGTGCCTAGCCATGTAGCAGGGCTGCTGTTTCGCACAGCTTCATTTGCACTCAAGTAACTACAGAAGGATTCCGAACGGGATCAGAGGTGTTCGCTAAAGTTGATGCCCGTTTCGACTGCAAACAGTGAGGGGCACTGCAAACTCCTCCGGTGGAACAATCGTGACGGACCTTGCGCCTTGTTACTGTTTGCCTGCACTTCGACGATGTCGGTCTCTGAAATATCTGTCAGACTTAACACCACTTACCGGCTTGGGCGAGACTACTCAGACATGCTATCGGTTTTGACAGGCCTCTGCCGCATCGTTGTGCTGCAAGATAGCTGTTGGCTCCCAAGCCTACAAGTGTGAAAGACGTCTGCTCTCCGTCCAACTCCAGACTTCAAAACCACCGAGACGTCTGGCCTGCACTCGCCTGGATACTGTAAATGTCAAGTACTCAACGATACTCTAGGCAGCTTCACTTGTATGCACAGCACTCCTGATGTCATGAGGCTCATGAAATGCCAAGTGTGCGGCCTGCAGAACAACATGGTGCCTTCACATCTTCATCCCATTCAAGTTTAGATCGAAGTCAGTGTGAAGCCTCTGTGCTGTGCCCCAAGAGCAAAGGCAAGCGCGGGACGATTCCGCCACGGTTCTCCTGCAGGATGTGTGCCACGGGGATAAGCAAAGCAGGAAGTTGCAGGCGACTGGCCGGAGAGCAACTTCCAGACTCACCTGTCCTGTTCGGCACCCAAGTCAGCGACTTGGATCGAGGTTGTAGGAAACCAGTCAGGAGAATACCATCGACGGCTGGTACCGGACAGGCAGAGCTGTGCATTCAATGGAGGTGATGTCTCCGGAGCTGGCATCTCACTCACCATATTGGCCTGCGGAGTGACTGTGTCTTGTGCGCTGAAGCTCCAGACTGGGCATTCTGCTTCTGCGGTCTGCTTTGGTACGACAGCATCGGGACAACTGGGAGCTACATGCACAGGCCCAGTCGACTTCGGAAGAGACGTTTCCAGTGAAGGGCTTCCGCCCGAGAGAGAGATGTTGCATGCAAGCTCCGAGGTAGCTGGAGTATCATGGAAGGTGTCGCTCCACGGCCCTTCCGTACTTGTGGCTGGCAGGGCAAGGAATGCCTCGTCCTCGTCTTTCTCCCTGCGCGCTCCATACCTTTCAACATGTGCGGCGGCGTGGCGAGAGGGAAGGCGGGAGCCAGGGTCCGGAGTTAATTCGCAACTACAAGTATGTAAAAGAATGGTTTCACTGCAATTAGCACCCCCAAGCCCAAATGCTACGACCAAGCGCACGCGTCACACTGAGCGTGCATGGTGGCAGGAATGTTGAGAGACCATGTTCGCCAGACAGCCTAACCTAAGCCAAATTACGTCCCAAGTCGCTCTTGAACCTGGGGATCGGCACTTGAGATGTTCAAGTTGGTGGAAGGAAAAGCTTCTGGAGGTCCGCTCACCGCGTGTCCTTGTCCTTGTCCTTGACTCGAGCTGGGACGTGGCTGTCGGACTGGCTGAGCGCTTGGATGTGACCAGAGTCCGTGAGAACTGACCACGCTAGGGAATGCAATTGGCAAGTTCCGGGTCTCTGCAGCAGGTGCATTCTGGAAGGACGGCGAGCTCCGTGCACTGTTAAGCGGGGCACTGCCTTTCGTGCCGGTCCACATGTCGCAGAACAGTCCAGCTTGGTGCTCACGAGCCCTTTGCGCAGCTGCAGCATCGTTCTCAAACCTGAGACTGCAAATCATGCCTGTGCCATGTCGGAAGCATACAATCTGCCCAGAACAGGACCTGTGAAAAGGGTTCGGTATCATGGCCCAGAACATGCAGGACAGCGGCATCTTGTTCATGGCTTGGGTGATCCCGGATGCACGCTGGACAGCCTTGCTCAAGCATGAAACTGCGGAAAGTTCGCTTTCAAACGACATCAGGGCAAGGCTGCTTCCTTGTCGCACACCGCTCGTTTGGCGGATGGAACTTGCCGTTAGAGCTGCTTCCATGATAGCTTGTGCCGAGTTCGTGCAAACCATCACCACGCAACACAGTAAGCCGCGGGCTGTCTTCCGATCCTGTGAGCAAGGCCGAGGACGACCAGTGGGACTCAGCGCGCGACAGCGAAGATTGAAAAGCTGCTGAGACCCCAAGGTTACAATCTGCCAAGGCCCTCACGGCCCAGCGGGACGTTTCGGCGGTTCCCGCGACATTTGCCAAGATGGTGGGTCTTGCACCTGCACTCTGTGCAGCTTGGGAGCATCTTCGGGGAGACTTGCATTCAATCAAGTAGCTGCATGATCGGCATGTATCCGTATGCTCCGCACACGTAGGCTGTGGCGCCATGCACGTAAGCTTTGTGCTTAACTCGACTGTTGCGCTTAAGGGGGCCGCAGATTCTTTCAGCCTCCCAGCTTGGCCTTGCTACTACGTGCCAAAGTGACAAAAGTCGAAGCCTGCGAAGGATTGGGAGCTAAGGGAGCATCGACGGCTCCACGGCCTCAAACCTTAAGGGAAGGCATCATTTCGCAGAGGCTGGGGTCAAAAGGCACGACAGGCCCAACACATGTGCTCGCCCTGACTTCCGACCGCAGCGGCTTTGCCAATCCCAAAAAATTGCTGGTTGTTGCAATGGACCTGCAATTCGCAGCGCGAACGCGCCCGGCGTTTCGCACATCCAGATGGCGCATGAGCCAATAATGAGCTAGAGCATGACATGATGAGATGCGCATGAACTAGCTAGCCTCATGTGCATTGCCGCCTTCGTGACCATCGTCTCTTGGATCTCTGGGTCCTCTTGGAATAACCTGCTGGGTGCATTGTGCTTGCGATACGTAATCGTGCACAGTGGCAACATGTAAGATTGATCTGAATCCAAGGCCAGGCCTCAAAGCCAATCAAGGAGGCAGGTGACAAGAAAATCCGAAAGGATGTCCCGGGAGGCCGGAGTAGGGGAGTGGCAAGGATTTCATGGCTAAGTATGTGAATTTACAGCTGCAAGATTCGACGTTGCCTGCAGGAGAGCTTTACCACTCAAAGGTTGGCACTCTGCCCTGCTATGCGACCGTTTGATGGATGGCCGGTCAAACGAAATCGAAAAGTCATTCAACCCCCAGCTCGTGGCCCGAAACTGTGGTGGCCGCCTTGCCGGGAACTTGCTGCGAAAGTTGTCCGTCAAAACACACGGTCAAAAGATCCTGTTTGATAAGAAGAGCCCTAAGTTCCAGCTCCTGACAATGCAATGCTGCTGTGCAACCGTGTCGCATGACAACACCATCTTTTTGCGCTCGCCCACTTTCAGGCGCTCGGCATACTCGTAGACTTTGGCTGGGTGAAATTGTCAGGACCCAACAGCCTTCGACAAAGGATGAAACAAGCAAAAAGTGGTCAACACCATAGTGGCTTCGGGGTCAGGTCCAAATGGAGTAGCAGGAAGGAGTCCCAAGGCAAGCATCCTCCTCCAGCTCAATCTTCAGTATCCTTCAATGGCAGGCTCTCACCTTTCTCCGCATCTACGGCGGCTGGAACCAATAGTCGAGCCAGGGTGAGGAAACAGCACGAAATGCAAGCAGCAACCACAACTAACACAAGTATCAGTAATGGTGCCAAAACCCTGCCACGTGCCGGCGGTCTTTGAACTAGATACACCAGCAAAAGCCAAAAGGTCGGCAAGAGAGTAAGGGCTCCAAGTGCCAAACACAAACGACCACGGCAGCAGTAGTTGCAGTTGCAGTCTCTGGGCAATGTCGGGCGGTCGAAGGCTTCCCGGAAACACAAACAACTCACCGCGGCCAGCAGCCACAGCAGCATGCCTATCTGGCTGGCACGAAATAATGCGAGCTTGTAGCCCATCCTGCCGAACAATGCACATCTTGTCTCCTTGCACTTCTGCTCTGCGCGCCTCTCTTCGTCACGTAACTCGAAGCATTTGAGCCTCCTCATACATGCCGTGTAAACATCGAAAGCGACATTCTGAGCTGGGAGCGGGCATTGCAGGCTGCAGTTGTTACTGGTGCCGACGCATTCAAGTTGGCCAGTGATGTTCGAGTCGAAGCAATGGAACTGCTCGCACTCGTTGCGGCAAACAAGGTCCAGCTGTTGGAAGGCCAGTGTTACTCCCAGAAGCACGAACGTAACTATCGTCAGAGACGCGCAAGTGATGAATCCAAGGCTACGATGATCTCGTGCAGATCCTGCACAGTGTGCACACTCGAATTCTTGGCCGATGCTTCCGCCTCGTGCGCTGGACATGGCGCCAAGAACCATGAGAAATCCAGCTACCCCTGCTGGACGAACGTGACTGAGCCACGATTGCTGCGGGTTTCTTGGCAACATATGTGTGGCTGGTCCGCCGATGCCGCCCGCAACGTCAAATTTGCCAAACAAGATCGTCAATCGTGCCAGATCGTCCGTGGCCCCGCAAAAAACCCTTCGAGGAGGCTTTTGTAAAACTCCATGTTGACATGACATCTGTATGCCTTCTCGAAGTAACAGAAGGTCGATTGCGAGGTTCCTGGTGCAGAATCGTGGTCTGCTACATGTTCTACCCGCAAAGCTGTGATTGGAGTGACGCCAGCCGTTTGCTGGCAGACATGGAAATATCATGATGGTGTTCGATCTTTTCCACCATGAGTGTTTTGCACGTCTGCGCTAACTATTCCTCACCGATACCCAAAAACATCCCCATGCCCACAAAGCCAAGGCAAGCCACCCACCGTGGACAGGGTGCCCTCACCGCTGCACACTGACCTGGAACGTCGGAACAAAGAACAAGGCTTCCCTCAGCTACGCCTTGGAGCCGAACCACAAACAAACAACGCTGTCTGTTTGGACCAAGGTGCTCTGGCGTCGCAGCCTTGGACATGCGAGTACTTCCACAAGGCTTTGCAATGCGCGCATGGGCCGACACTCGCTTGAAACTTGAAACGTCACGAGGCTTCTGCCCGAGCTCTGGTTTTGCAGTCTCGTGCTTCCTTCCCTGGCCTCGGCTCCGTATGCGTGTATCGAGCCAGATTTGCAGCTAAAGTGTCGGTTGAACGGGCCCGAACCAACAACCCCCAACGACAAGGGCAACACTAGGATAGCCAGGATAGCCGTCAGGGAACACTCAAAAAGGATGGGGCATGGCCGCGCCAGGCATATCTCGGGAAAGTTGAGCTTCTGCTACATAAGATCGAAGACGTGTCCTGTGCGGGCAAACTTCGAGTACTTGTACTTTGTGTGGATGGCCTACTGGATGATACAGTTGCTTCGTGACATGTATGTTTTTTTGTCAGCCACCTGGCACGTGACATGTATATGTTCGCTCAGGTTCCGCGACGAATGCTTTGCAGCAGTACAACTCTTGACAACAAGCCGTGGCAGCAAGTCAACACGACCAACACAAGAACCAAGTTCAATTGGATGGACACGGTTATCGACACGCGCCACTTTCATTATCGCGGCCATCGTCGTCATCATCACCGATATCTTCATTGCCTTTCATGCAACCATCACAGACTTCATCAGAAGCGAGAGTGTGTGTGACTGTCGTCACCGCTGTCATCGTCTTCGTCATGATGACGACCATTGCCACGATCACCATCATTATCATCATCATCTTCTTCACTATTATCACTATTCTCACCGCGTCATCAGCAAGAGCATCAACATGCAAAGCTTGCAAGGCAAGCAGGAGCGAACCGAGCAAACAAACCAGCAGCGTGCAGATACTATCATCAGCAAGTAGGCCTGTCGCAAAAGGAAGGAAACACGCCAGCACCAACGTAACGCATGGACGACTCCCATTGCCGAGTGTCTGATGGCATCTAGCACCCGCTCCAGGTGGCGATGCATCTCCAGACTCATCCTCGGAAGAAAAGGCGGTGGCCACGGTATGAGGAAACCTCAAAGGTCTCACCCCTCCTCCCCGGACCAGTTTTTGGGCTGAGAAGGTGGGCCAAGTATCTGGAGCAGTTCATCGTACAGACAAGCAAGCTGTGGCAGTGCTAACAACCAGATGTCCTCCCACTTGCCCACTGGCCGCAATGGCTTCGCATCTTTGATTTTGAACCCCGCATGCTTTGCTAGGACGAACCCGACCCGTAAGCGTAGGCCAGTGAACAAGCCTTCAAGATGACTGTCGGGGTGAGTCAGGCCGAGAAAACACACGATCACCGATGTCACTGTCCGTGGATCCAGGCCGAGACTCGCCACAAATGGGAAAACTGTTTTCTTCTGCAACACTCTGGAAAGCAGAACGATACTTCCAGCGCGCTTCTTCACTCCCGCACAGAACTCGGTGGGAAAAGTCTGCAACTCACCAGCAGCCCCCCCAAATCGCACCTCCACCAGATTGAATAAAGTACACATGCAAGCTGAATCACTCTAAAGATGCAAGGCTTGCACATTGAGTAAACTTTCGACTTGGCCTGAGGCAGCTTGCATGTGCAACATTCACCAGGACAGTAGGGGTAGCGGCTGACTCGGGCTTGAAGGCCCGCCCGTGTGAAAAGGACGAAGGACTACTACTACTACTACTACTACTACTACTACTACTACTACTACGACTACGACTATGACGACGACGACGACGACGACGACTACTACTACTACTACTACTACTACTACTATTATAACCTCGATTGCCCGGCAATCTCTGGAAATCAATGATTACATATTTCTGTGATTAATCCATGAACCTTTTGTGAATCCCGGACACTGTTTGCCGTCTGCTGAATGAACATGCTTGTCTCAGCCTGTGGGCCAACCACGCTGGACTAACACCACTGCGGCCAAGAATGGGGCCTCTGGTCGATTGCCTGATCATTGGCAGGCCCACCATGGAAAATTGAGCACCCAGTCGGACATTCCTGCGATGAGTATGATGGTCGCTTGTGGCTAATGAGATCCATGCTACTGCAGGCAATGTGTGTGTGGCAAGGAAGTACGCGCATAGAGTTGATTGCGTATAGTGCTGGCCATGCTCCGCCGTGGGATTCAACAGATTCTGGGGCGGGCTTCGACTCGAGTGCTATGGATGAAAAGCTTTTTCTGATGGCTCGCCAGCTTTTCATTGTCCTCGCAGGAACAAGGAAGCTGCGGTGCGATACCTATTCGCTGGGCATCCTGCCTGTCCTTGCATCGTATCGACTGGATCTGATGCGACGTCCCAGTGAGTGAGGGAGTACTGTTACTGCTGCTACGGCTACTACTGCCACGACTACTACGACACCAACTTCGACAACGACTCCGTCAACCTGAACGAGAAGGGTGGGTCGACTACTACACTGCTGCGACGGCCAGGGCTGCTACTGATGCAGCGATGAGTATTTCGTTTTCAGGAAGAAAAGGAGGACAACAAACGTAGCAAGGGGATGTTCTAGTCGGAATAGAGCGGAACGAGAAGAGGGGGCTGGGGATTCTTGTCCAACGGAACGAGAGTGCAGGGGGTCTCGTAAGCCGAAAGCCAAACGAGCATCTCTCACACACATCCCGCCATGGGCTGATCTGATTCTCATAGCTCGGAAGTCGACATACGCTCAACTGCGGAGTATCTGCAGGGCACAGTGCAGAAAGGTCGGGTGGTTGACCGATTGCACCAACGTACAAGTGAGGCAAGTGGTGTGCTGGACTATAGTCTCCAAGCCCAATGGGACAAGTGGGTCAACCCCACTGATCACCATCCAGCTGGTAATTACAATGGACTGCAGATGTTTTGAAACATGGACGAACACAAAGGGCGGTTCCGGGACACGAGCCGGTACTGATGAGCTTGGCACACCTGTCGTCACAACCAATCAGGCATTGTAAACATGTGTCATTGTATCACGATCATTCCGGCATTCCTGGGTTGTTAAACAGCCTCAGGCAAATCATACGTCATACGATTGGTGAGTATTGACGTCCCAACATTGGAGGCACAACTGCATCACACAGGCTTGTAATATGGCGGGGATGGCCCATTGATGACTAAGCCTCACCTTGAAGTGTCGTCTTGAGGTCAAGAGTATGGTGAGTACGCACTACGGCTAAACTTCGTTCGGCCCAGAAGGTGGCACGGGTTTGCACCTCCATAGCTGCTAGAAGATTGCCGTCGCCACGCGGTGAGCCTCCAAGTGAGCAATAAGTTTCGCTAATGAATGAATATTTCGATGACTGCATTTCGCGCCCCGGAATCCCCGAACCCGTGCAGGCCTGGCATTACACTGGTGCTTGATCCGTATGCAGTAAAGGTCTACCACGTGTCGGGTCAGCACCCATATGCCATACACGAGCTGCTATCCTTCGAAGCCATCGAACAGTGGAGACAGGTCTATGCAACTTGCCGACTTGCCTCCATCCTGACTAGAGCCTGCCGCGCCTTGCAGGTCAAGTGGACAGGCATCTAGTTGTGCTACGACATAAGATCTCGTCATCTGACAAGTCTGCCGAAGCCTTCTTCATTCTGGCTCCCGCATGACGTTCTTGCGACCAGTAGAACTTTTACTTTCACGCATCCTCCCCTGCATCTCCAAGAGCGAGAACGATCCCTTCTGGCTTGCATTGTACTGGTAACGTGGGGTGCAGCCTGAAGCTGTGGCATGCGGCTCCAGCTTGGAGCTTGCACGAGTCAATCCCGCTCCGAGTCTTGGGTGCTCGCAAGCAGCACTTCATGCAATGCAAGCTGAGGAGAGGACTGGCGCAGTCACCACGGCTGAATGTCGAGACAACCTGCCAACACCCGTGAACTTGCATAGAAGAGCAAACCTCAATACAAGTGCGCAGGTAGGTACAGGTATGCAGTATGCACTATAGTATGCACAAGCTCCCTTTGCAGGTCTTCGGGGTGACTCACAAGATCTGCTCCAACTCTGTCGTGTCCTTAGTTACACCGTTTCTCATTCTCTCCAAACTTGCAGCCTGCAGAGCCGTTTTGGCCTCAGCCGTCCCCGTTGACCCGTCGTCTAAGTACTGTAAGGTCCTCGGACTCCGTTGAAAACTGTGTTGGCCGCTTTGCCTGATTTAATCCACACTCTTGTGATGAGACCTGTGCAGCAAGCCCCAGAAGTTGTCGGGTTGGGGACAAACTCAAAGCTGAAAGCAGGTACTTACGAGCACGCATTCGCAAGGCGAGTCTGCTCGTGACGAAGCAATATCAATGCCTTGTCGGACGGCTGCGTGTCCAGCTCCTGGCGGCACCACCTGATACTTGCGAGTTTCTCAGCCAGCACGGAAACCGTAAGACATGCTACCGTTTTTTCCTGTGGATCCGTCCAGAATCACCAGGTACGCGGATCATCCGTCTACCGACGAGTTCACACGACAAGCCCAACCGGAAGCAGGTGCTAGTTTGTAGTCGTAGACTGTAACAAGACCGTCTAGGCTTGCAGCCCAAGAGTGTTTGCACTGCAATTGCTGCATCACGCTTCATCCACATGCATTGAACAACGACTTTTGAATGATGTCGAAGAAAAAGATGCTCATGCACCCCGTATAGACTGCCGCAGGCCTGGCGATGTCGAAACTGGTGTCTGCCACCTGCGTGCTCCTTCGAGAGGGTGCATGTGCCAACTAAGCAGTCAAAAAATGTCAAAGGCCTGAGCATCTGTTCCATGCGGCCGACGGCAGGTTCAAGGCGATGGTCATGCTGACATATAAACATACGACTCCTGATTACAGTTGTGCTGGCTGGTGTTTGGGAGCTCCAGGTGCTGGTGTCTTGGATGCGCGGAGATCGGCGGCTGCGGGAAGCATGTAACTTGACTAGTCTGCCTGCCCTGCCTCTCTGCTCCATGCAGCACGGAAATCAGCAGTTCAAGCGACGGCAGCAACCGACAGCAGTGTCACATAGTTTTCAACTTATCGAAGTTTGCTTTTGGACCCTCCTGCTCGGAAGGCACTTTAAAGAGAGTCTTTGGTCCGCCTACCATGACGTGGTCTCCGGCAACTCATGTTGCCCACAGCCCAAACGTGCTGAAAACAATCGTGCAGTTCGTCAACACAGAAAGTGGAGAGTCAATGAGGCAAAAAATGCCTGCATTCTCAAGCACCACCAACTACCATAAACTGTTGACCAAGATGTTCGTCTGCATGCCGATTGTGTATGTCTAATGTAACTTATGTCAACGTGACATTCTGGGCCGTCTTTGGCCTGTGCTGGGACATCCTGGGTTCTTGCTTCGCGACCGTCTCCTTAGGAGTGAAAACAAGGTCGAATAAGGTTCCAAGTGCATTGGGCAGCTGACCTTCTTGCCAGGCCAGTACCGACCAATCGCAGCTTGCTGAGCAAGCGCAATAAACAGGAGCCTGTTGGCAGGCAGCTTGGCTGGCCGGTGGCTCCGGTTTTGCAAACAGCCAGAGACAAGCCAAAGACGGCAAGAATCGGGCTCGGGTTATGCACGAACGCCTGGACTTCTGAATCTCAGCACCAGGTGTGCTGGAGTACTGAGTGCATGGTGTGCATTCAGGACGTTGAAGGCATGCTGTGCCATTTGAGCCCCACGATGCACGTCCACACTACCACCAGCTGAGTAGCTATCACAACATACGACAGCGTTTGGTGTGGCGTGCAACGGAGCGAAGCCTCGTCGGCACGATCCCAGGCAAACTTATGTACAGGCCACGAAACCACCGTGTGAGTGCTTCTTTAAGCTGCGGCATGCTTTCTCAAGGAAGGGGGAGTCGCACTCTGGAGCTCAGGGACCAACCTCCATCTCCGATTCAAGAAGCCTCATGAAGGACAGCCAAGCGGGAGCCAAGACAGCGGTCCCCAATCTGCCTCCCTCTTCCTCGCCATCCTCTGGTCTCAGGCTCTTGCTGTGAGTGCAAGCACCCCCAGCCCGCCTTGTCTCAAAGCTAAGGCACCCGGCAGGCTCCGGTCAACGCTGGGGCTGGAGGCTGTTTGTTCTTTCACTGGGTGTGCTACTTGATGCTCTCTACCTATCTCAGGCGGCACAGAATGCTTGTTTTTTCCCTCTCGATCAGTGCCCACCCAGATTGCTCATTAAGTGCGGGCCACTCCCCCAAACTCTCAAGCTTTGCGTCGTCGTTTTTATTCCCCGGCCGAAGGAGTAAACTGACTTGCACCATCCAGTCAGCATGAAACTCGAGGCCTAGGAGAGAGATCTGCAGTAGTCCGTCTGAGTCCGTCCTGTACCTATGGCCGAACCATGCCGAACCCATAGTCCCGCTTAGGGCCTAGTTCAGCTCGCGTGGACGTTCCTCCACTTCTTGCCTTGCATGCTTACTTGCTGAGGGTATGGAGGCCTAAAAGACCCCCTGGCTTGGAGGCCTTCTGCACCACAGCTTTCTTCTCTGTCCCTCTGTCTCGTTCGCTTTGATTTGACTGTCACCGAAGACTTGGTTCTGCATGACAAGACAATCAATGCAGGATGGAGGAATCGCAGTGCAATCTAGCAGAAGAGCTGATTTGCGAAAGCGGTTCTGAGCCCAAGATAGTCCAAGGAACGGCTATCCCAAGGCACAGGGCTTCTCATCTTCTCTATCTTTTGCAGCTCACGATAGAAGCCATCCTGCCAACTTGTGCTGACATGCCTAATCAGAACTGCCACATGCACAAAGCCTGCCACGCAGTGTTCTTACGCCTATATCTCGCCGAAAAGGGCGCCGGAGTTCAGGTACTGGTGTGCTTGCATGCGTGGACGTGCGTCCGTGCGCGCATGCATGCATGGGTGCGTGCGTGCTGCGTGCCCGGCCTGCAAAAGGCAGAGGTTGGTTGCTGTGACCGGTTAGAACCGATGTTCCCTTTTTCACCCTGGAGCGAACTTCAAGAGGAAATCGCCATCCCTCCTTCAATTAGATAGTCTTGACAATCGAATGGAACTAGTGCTTTGGTTGAGATTGTGGGTCGTGGCGGCGACAACTGGGGGCTCTGGAACGCAAGTGCTTGGTCTGCTTTGCAATAATTGCTTGCAATGTGTCTCAGCTTGAACGAAAGCTTCTGTGCATACGTGAGAATGCCCCTTGGCTCATGCGGTGTCCTGCTGTGGCGATGCTGTTGTGCTGATAAATTAGTTTCATTCGCCCCGTCTTGAAACAAGGACAAAGGAGTCCAGCAGAAGCAGATGTCCAACTTCTCATCTGTCAAATGTGTGCGCAATGAAGGTGACAGCTGGGACTTTTGTGCCGGCAACCGACCTATCAACTGGGAGAAAGTTTAGAAAAAGCATGTGTGCTAGGACTGCTTATGACCCGAAAACAACCGTCGTGCAAGCACCAGAACTCCCGCAGTTCAGTATGCACAGTCCGTTTCCTTACCGCCAAAAGGCTAGTGTGCGTGCAGTAGCGGTAAACACTACAGCCCGGCAGTAGAACTCGCTTCTTTTTGTCCGGTGGCGGAAAGCAGTCCGGGCTCGGGTGGCCCTGGTCGGAAAGCGGAGATCAGACCAGGGCCAGAGCCGGATGCAGAGCAGATCCGCATTCGCATCTCTGGCTGGAAAAACCACCCCAAATCCAGGGGGCCAGAGAGGAATGGGAAGGAGGGCAGAAGGGGACGGCGGCGCGGCGGCGGGTACAGAAAAATCTGCGGAAACGGATCCCCGCTCGAACCGGATGGCTACAGCGGGAGCCGTTGCGTGCAATACTAAACACATCCGTTCAGGCACGGTACCGTTCAGTATGCACAGTCCGTTTCCTTACCGCCAAAAGGCTAGTGTGCGTGCAGTAGCGGTAAACACTACAGCCCGGCAGTAGAACTCGCTTCTTTTTGTCCGGTGGCGGAAAGCAGTCCGGGCTCGGGTGGCCCTGGTCGGAAAGCGGAGATCAGACCAGGGCCAGAGCCGGATGCAGAGCAGATCCGCATTCGCATCTCTGGCTGGAAAAACCAATGGAAGCCTCGAGCGGAAGCTTGACCACAGCCGTGGGACCAGCCAAAGAACGAATCAAGCTGAGGAAGAGCCACCCGGACAAAGGAAACCAGAAAAGTCAGCCGCAGAAGGGAACAGGGACAGTTCTGGAGAGCAGGGGAACTGGTCCCAGGAGATCATGTGTTCCTGAGAAGGCTCGAAGCCCAAAGACGTAGGGTCGGCCGAGCGGCTGAGCGCGTCAGCCACATCGTTGGAGAGGCCCGGAACATGATCAATGTAAACCGAAATGCGACGGGCCTGTTGGCAGAGCAGGAAAGAGCGCAGAATAGCGCAGAGGCCTTTGGCCATGGACAGACCCTTCCAACTCGCAGCGTCAGCGGCGGAGTTGTCACATTTAAAAATGCAATGCACCGGAAGGTGCCCCGGTCCCAACAGGACGTCCAAGAGGACGACTAGGGCACATTGCGCCAGCAATTCCCAACTGGCAATGAAAGACTGGGCAGAGGCAGTCTCGGAAAACCAGGGGAAGAGTGTGTGCAGTGCATGACGGTCGAAACGCTGGTGAAAGAAGAGCTGGCGACCATCCTGCATGGAGCCGAACGAAGCCGCCCAGCCCGGCCGAGAGCTCATCTGCGCAAGCGTCTGCAAAGGCCTCACAGACAAAGAGAGGCGGGCGCAGTAACGAGCGGACAGCCGTACCAGACTGGCAGAGGTCCAACCAGAGGCGGAAGACTTCCTGGGATGAGTCAGAGAGTACGCACAACCCTGTATGTGGGGAGGACGACTGGAGCCAGACGCGGCGCGCGTCTGGGGCTTGTGACGGTAGATCACCGAGACAAGATACGGTGGTTTGGTTGAAACGCAAGATCTTGGAGCCCGGCGGCAAGGCAGCAATGCCGACAGGGCGTGACAGGACCAAGTCTTGGGATAAGGCCTGCCGTAACCCGGACCAGCGTTCCGGCTGGATGGCTGTCATAGTCGGTAGCAGGGAATGTTGGTTTGAGTAAAGCGGTGCCAGAGACGGACGGAAGGTGCGGAACAGAGACGATAACCACAGTAGCTTCCCTGTCACACGTTCCAGGAGGTGGCAAGAGCAACGTTTGGCTGCCTGAGCAGGGCACACAGTCGTTCAAACTTGCCCGGATCCAGTCGCACACAAAAGTGTGACAGATTGAACTCCCAGCCAATCCAGACGACCCTGGGGCCCAGCGCGGCTTTGTGCCAAGACATAGGAACCCGCAGAACCAGAAGCAAGACAACAACCAAGGACGCCCAGAGAGGAGCGGAAACCGCATCCAGAAGCGCGAGAATGTCATCCACGTAAATCTGGGCAGAGTGTCTGACACGGACAATGCGATGCACCAGGCGCAAGAGAAGGCCGGCCGCTCGAGCCCAGTAAAAGGAGGAGACCCGAGCCCCAAAGTTGAGTGTCAGACATTGGTACAGTTTACCGCGGTGACGGAAGCAGAGAAGACCACGATCAGCCGCACGTATGAGAATACGACGATGCGCCTTGGCAACGTCCAAGATGAGCGCAACAAGGCGCTCAGTGGAGTCCGAATGAGGCATACAGAAGAAAACATCAGACAGAGTAGGGTTGGCAGACCGATTGGGCAGAGCAGTGTTGCTCGTGACCCCAGAAACGGAGCTGTCCACGACCAGGCGCGGAGGACGTCCCTCTGCCAAGACCACACATAGCTTGCCGACCGCCGTACAGGTGTAGCGACGGCGCAACTCAGAGTCCCCCCCCGGCACCAGAGCAATCCAGCCCTCGGCCAGTTCAGCTTCCAGCAACTCATCCACAATGTCCGCATGATCAATGGCGGATTTCCAGGCGGATTCACAATGCTGCAGCGGAATAACCGTGGCGTCGGGAGCAGGGGGAGGATGCATGACAGGGCAAGGGGGAATAGGTTGAGGGACGCCCAACGGGACACCCTGACGCAACAAGTCAAAGTAGCTTGTGTCAGGATCGGCACAGAGCAAAGATAGGCAATGCCAGAGGTTGAGTCGGAACGGCTGACCTTCCTGTACCATGAGCAAACGCTGCCACGTGGAGTCGTCTTCCACATGGAGGAAGGAGCGCAGATCGTCCAGAAACGGAGACAATTCCTCCTCCACCAGAGGGGGAGATTTGGACCCGGAGTTGAGGGCGGAAGCGATGCGTTGGGCAAGGCCACCAGAAAGCAGTCTCTTGGACCACACCGCTCTCAGGGCGGCAAGAGGGTCAGAAGAGACCGGCATCGGACAGGCAGTGCTGCAAGTCCCCGCGCCGTCTTCAATCCTGTGGGGGCGGTGAGGCCAGATAAAGCGCGACGGCAGAAGCTGCAACCAAGCCGAGATCGGATAAGGTTGCTGCTGCAAGGCGTCCGAGAGGAACGGAGCAGCGAGTCGTGCCAGGGCTGAGGCCAGAGACGGGGGGTGGCAAGCAGACAGGCGAGTGGCGAAAGAACCATCCGCCAGACGTTTGCCCGAGACCTTTTTGTGAGTGCCCAGGGGGTGAGGGCAAGCGCAGCGCAAGCCAGAGCAGACACCTCGGCGGAATTTGAACAAAAGGACCAGGCCTTATGCTGATCCAAACCGTGTTGACAGCCAGCGACAGTCGCAATGTGGCGGCAGTGCAGTCGGAGCCACGAAATGACCTCTGGGTCCAGCCAGAGAAGTGACGACGTGGGGTTCTCAACCCAAATCAAGCCACCATGTGAGTCCACTAGACATAGCAGGTGGCGTGCGCGGCTGTGCAACACGGAGGACACCCGAAGCTCTTCTGCCTGAGAGGCAGAGGGCGATAAGATGCCTGTCGGGCAGAGAAGGGTACGGACTGGAGGGGGACCACCTGAGCGCAAGCGAGCTCGAGAAAAAGCCGCACAGGGTGGGGCCGCCCCCGCAGCACCGACCAGGCCAGAACAACTGCTCGAAGAAAGCATCGTCCAAAAGATCAGATGCAGACGCGGAAAGCTTGTCGACAGGCTCCAAGCAAGCCTTGCCCAGCGCCTGAATGGCAGAAGTGACCGGAGCAGAGGAACCGGAAAATAAGTCGAGGAAAAGTCTGGCAGCGGGAATAGTGGCAGCATTCGTGGCCGCAGCCGGTGGACTGAGACGATCGAATAGAGGCCAGGCTATCGGAGCCCGGGGACAGCGCTGCAAATGATGGCTGAGATGAGGCCCCTAGGGGCGCAGGGCACTGCAGAGGCGGAAGGGGGGGTGGAGGGGGGGCCTTCGCGGTTTGAAGTGAAGGGGGCACGGCGGCGGGCCCGGAGGAGCAGGCATAGACTCCGTCATGGGGTCGACGGTAGCAACCAACTCAGTGAGGGGTCTTACCGTGTTCAAGGGCCGAGTGTGGTTGTCCACAGGGCTTGCCAGACGGGAGCGGGACCGGACAGCCATGAACAAACTTGCAGTCGGTCTTAGTGCACTTGCCGACCGCAAAGCGCATGGCTTCCTTATCCCCGATGGTTTTGCACCAAGAGGGGTCCCACCCTTTCGGAGGCGGATTGGCAGAGGATTTGGCCTTTGCAGCCGCCGACTTAGCCTTCGCCGCAGCAGAGTCGGTGCCAGACGAGTCCTCGGTGAGTTGACGTTTTCTGCCCAGCCCCTTGCCAGATTTACCATCGGCAGAGGGTGGCGGCGCAACACGTGCCGGCCGGGGACGGGGCTGGAGCAAGTTAGACATCTCCCCGCGACAGAACGCAATTTCACTGAGGGCATCCGGGAGGCTCCAGCCGTGTTCGCTCGTAAGCTCGTAGACAGCAGACCAGACCGCACGATCCGCATGGAGGATCTCCTGGAGCGTGGGCGAGCGGAGTGCCTGATCCAGTGGAGCAGCCAGGGAGATCTAACATAGCCAAGGCGGTGGCCAGCAGAGAGAGCGCACGGCGTAAGACCGGCTCCGGGTGTCCCTGCATGTTGACCGAGACCGACGGGCCAGGCGGCTCGGGCTCAGAGTCAAGCAGTTGACGGATAAAGGAGCGGTCATTACGAGGTTTGCACGTCTCTTCCCAGCGAGCAGCGTCAGCTAGGCAGGTGCGCAAACGCCATGGGACCCAGAGGGAGGCGACGGAGTCACTGTGTTGTTTCAGCAACGACAGGAACTCGAGCGACGGAGTGGAGGACGGCGTCAGCAGTTCCCCCGGGTACTTGGCCATGAACTCCTTCTTGAGATGCGTGAAGTCCGTAGGCAGCGGGCACAAGCATGGGCGCGATGCCCCCTGCCCCGGATGGGGCGACCACAGAGACGGCACACGGCAGCATGCAGAGGTCAAGTGGCCCAGACGACGGAGGAACCGTGTGCATACCCAGGACCCTGCCACGATCACGCCCCCTCCGCACAATGGTGGGCTCGGGAGGCATCGACGGAGGAGGCGGAGGCGTCCCAAGAACGCGCTGCATCAGAAGCGTGCGGGTTCAGCCACAGCGCATACGGATTGCTGGGGCCCCCGCCATCAGTGCTGCAGCGGCGAGGTGGATCGGCCGAAGCAGGCGCGGGGGCAGAGCCGGACGGCGGCACCGAGGACCCAGTGCGCGGAGGAAGCCGCAGAAGACCAGAGAGTAACCACTGGCGGTGCACCTCGTGGGGAGGGTTCCGGCCCGAGCCAGGCAGTGTTGGAGAAGGCTCATGCGCCAAAGGCGATGGGGAAGGCGGATCCAACACCGTAGGGACCGGAGCCTGGGCGTCCATGGGACCATCCGCCGGGCTCGTGTCCGAAAGATCCTCGATGGGATCGGAGACGACCGGGTCCGCTGCGGCCGTAGGGGAGACCGACTCGATGGGGTCCGACGACGACGTTAAGCAGAAGAAAACAACAGATCCTCGCACGGACACCTTTGTTTACGCACCCAGCGCTCGTCACAGCAGCTTCAGACGATGAAGGCAGCCCGTGCGGAGGCAAAGAGTGGCACCCTTAGGAAAGTCCGAGAGGACGCTGTCCTGCGCCAGTTGGGAGGTGCGGGCACCGCAGATCGGGCGGAGCCAGAGATCCTCGCCGGATTCAGAGGGGTATAGCTTGGACCGGATGGCCCGAGGCTCAGTGGCCACTGCAACATGGACCCAGTACGAGAGATTCGAGCCAGACGACGAAACTCAGGCTCAGTGGCAGGCTCTCGCGATGTTCCGTAGGGGAGGAAGCAACGGAAAACGCCTGACAAACGGGCGAGACAAGAGACGCTTTCAGAGCCGGAAGTCCCGCCGTTTTACAGAACCAGGAGAGAGCCTTAAGCTGCCTAGTTGAGAGGCCCTGTTTGCTGGCTTGGCTGCGCAACCAATCCGGGAGCAGACCCGGCGGCGGAGACAAGTGATTGATTGGCCCCAGCTAAGCGGCAGAAGGAAACCCAGTTGAGCCAGGCATCAAAATACCGCTGCAGAGTGGACGGAGCAAACTTCGCGGCCACCCGCTGCACATGAAAATCCATGTCGGCGGAAGCAGAAGCTTCCACAAACAGGGCGGACTCCGATCCCATCTCCCTCAGGAGCTCCGTCCTGCGGAGCAGAAGAAGCCTCATCTCTTCAGAGGCCTGCTCAGCCGAGCCAGCCACGTGGCCAAGGGGGGAGTCAGGCAGGCGCATAAAAGAGGTGGATGCCAGCGCAGCCGAGTCAGACACCACGGGCAGAAGGCATAGAGCTGCCACCGCCGGCCTAGCTGCAAAGGACAGCAGAAAGTTTTCCAAGTGGCGCCGTGAAGGAGAGGGAGCCGGAAATGGCCTAGACGGCGGAGGCGGAAATGCACGGAGCGGCGGGGTGATTGCCGGGGCAGGCACTGGAGAAGGCGAAGACCGCATCAGGGCACGGGGTCTGTAGGAGGCGACAAGACGCCTGAAGACCAGCGCGATGGAGGGCGGCCGAAATTCGAGAGGGCAGGGGCAGACGGCATCGGAGACACCAGAGACCAAGTCGTGCCACTAGCGAGAGAGCCAGGCAGGGATGACACCCCAATGTGAGAGGTGGACGCCGACGGCGGAGAAGTATGCAGCACCGGACGCGGGCTGGGAGTGGCCAGCAGACTCAGCGGGGAGTTCGGCACTGAGGCGCAAGGCTCCCCAGAAGGTCGAAGACCAGGCGGAGTATGCACAAAGTCCGGAAGCGGAGAAGAGCCGATGCCAAGGCCAGAGAGGCCAGGATCGTCAGCACCACCCGGAGCAGCAGACTCCGCTTGAGGAAGACCAGGTTGACCTGACAGAGGCAGGCAGCCGACACGTCAAGAGTGAGAACCCAGGGCCTGTCTCGAAGAGCGTGAAGTCGAGGTCCTGCGCGAGGCAGAAAACAAAAACGAGTGACCAAGACAACGCACCATGGGCGGACCGCACGACGCGCACTGTCTTTGAACGGCCGCGAGGCGGCGGGTCGATGGTCGGCAGGCAGACGGGCAGATGCCGTCAGCTGCAGAAGAGAAAGCGGCGGGCGGAATCATAAAGATCTAGCCGCAGAAGGAAGAGGGGAGCCGGAGGCACGCCCTCGATTAAGGGTACTTGAAAAAGAAAACACCAACGGCCGAAACCAGACGCGGCCCGGCAGCCGAGCACTTACGGCATCGGATGCAGGGCAGGAGCGGAAACGGACGGAGGGCTCACCTGCCCGTGAGGCAGTGGAAACAGGTGTGCCCGTCATGGCCGGACCTTTCGCCCACCATGATCGGACGCAGACACATACCGAGGCAACGATTCCCCTCGGAATTGTTGGCCAGGCGGGTGCAGATGTGAGTGCAATAGCCTCGCAGAGCGAGGTGCTGCAAGGGCTCTGCAGGAGCAAGCGGAGTGATATACCCCGGGTGCTCGTCCGGACGCAGACAAAACAGATCCGGAAAAGGCCAGCAGGTTGGCCTATGCCAAACTCCGGCGGTCGTCGGAGTGTTGACCCGGAGCTGCCAACCTTCTCTGGAACTCCAGGGTGCCGACTGGAGCTGCGGGGGCAGACGCGGCTTGACCTCGACCCAGCGGTACGTGTCCGGAGGCAGACCGCGAGGGTCAAGTTGGGCAGCCCGCTTCCCAGAAATCGTTGGGATCGAAGGCTCGGGTGCGGGAAGCAGGAGGAACGACACGATGTCGCTCCAAGCGGCAGACGGCGGAGTCGGAGCAGAGGATTTTGGTTCGGCAGAGGCGGCCAAAGTACCTGTCTCCGGCTCCAGAAACCGAGTCGGTTCGACCTCTGCAGGGGCCACCGGAACATCGGTTTCAGAAGCGGCGTCTGCCAGAGATGTAGGGGAAGGGGCCGGCGCCGGACCAGCAGCAGGAGCCTCAGCGGAGCGCACACGACCTGGATCCGGAGAAGTCGTGGCCTCAGAAGGTGAGGGCTCAGAAGAGCGGTCCGGAGCAGGGCCAGGAGCGGATGAAGCCGTCATCGTTGACAGACGGAGGAACAGGACGAAGGGGGGGCACAGCAGGCGTGATCAAGACGGCTGCGGAATAGACCAAGTCCCTCAAGAACAGCAGCGGCAGCAAACGAACAGACAGACCTGACGCATAGGAGCAAAAGAGTCCTGAGGCGTCGAAGTCCCCACTATCCGTAAAGAGGGAGACCGGGAGCGGCGACCTGAGAAAGCAGGCGCACCGACTCGGAAGGTATACGGCAGCGGTCAGAAAACTGAGCCGGCCGCGCGCAACCGAAGGGGAAGATCTTAGACCTTCAGGATGCAGAAAAAGAAAAGCCTGACGGTCAGTCACGGAAACTGAGCCGGCAGCGGCGGTTACCACCAGAGGCAGAAGAGCCTGCCACAAGGTAACGAAGGACCCAGACAAACAGGCGGAGATACCGGCCTGAAGTGTCTTGGGAAGAGGACGTCGACGAACGACGTCGACGGTATCGTCCCCGTCGTCTGCCTTCCAGGGAAGGGCAGAGCAAGCAGGAACAATAGAGGCAGAGCAGAAATCCAGTCTGACCTCGAGCCATCCAGGAGCGGGATTCCAGGACCCTACAGAAAAATCTGCGGAAACGGATCCCCGCTCGAACCGGATGGCTACAGCGGGGGCCGTTGCGTGCAACACTAAACACATCCGTTCAGGCACGGTACCGCACACACCGTCATCTCTCGAACCGTCGGCGAATGTCAGGCAGCTCCCACCCGCTCCGCGCTTATGGGATCTTAAGGGGTTCACATGTGGAGCTGCACGGGAGTTTTCTGGGGGAGCTCGTGATTCCTTCAGCATGCAGCATCTCCGAATCAAACAAGTTCCTGTTACAGCAAGGGTGGATTCTGGATCAGCACAGTGCCCAGGCAGTGTCTACAGCAATGATGTTTTGCTTCAGCCTTCTAAGAGATGCAAAATATCAACAAATCAAATGGGTAGAAACCAAAGAAGGTTTCTGGTTTGAAGCCAGTTTCCGAAGAAGAATTCATGTCCTTGTCGGCTTGCATGCGCTCCATCCATGGGCTTCCCGGCAGCGAAGCTTCGAAAGCCTGGCCGGAAAATGATGGAAATAGCGGGCAGAATGCGCATGCGTCAATTCAGCATCCAACTGACAACAAATTGCAGATGAGGAGCGGCTTTGTTGACATCCGATGCAAAGCCGCGAGCCACGTAGTAGGCCGCTGTGTCCAGCATCTCAGATATGTCATGTTCCCTCCAAGAGAAGGAAGTCAATGTCGCTAACCATCATCATGCTATTGGAAGCAATCAGCATTCATCGTGTGAATGCTTCCGCCCGGCTGCTACACGCCAGCCTCAACGATTCTCAAACACAGTGGAGCCAAACAACACTCTTATCCAAAATTGGTCCTTGGTGGTGCTGGTAGTAGCGATGGCAGAAGTCGCCGCAGCAGCAGTGGCAGGAGCAGTAGTAGCAGTAGCAGTAGCAGTAGCAGTAGCAGTAGTAGTAGTAGTAGTAGTAGTAGTAGTAGTAGTAGTAGTAGTAGTAGTAGTAGTAGTAATAGTAGTAGTAGCAGCAGTAGTAGTAGTAGTAGCAGCAGCAGTAGTAGTAGTAGTAGTAGTAGTTGTAGCAGTAGTAGTCGTAGTAGTCGTAGTAGTAGTAGTAGTAATAATAATAGTTTGTTTTGTCACCCACATGGCACGCCAATGACAGCTCCGCGGGGACTTAAATGGTAACTGGTCGCGACAAATTCCCTGTTTCGAAAAACAGCAACACAAGGTAAAGCCACAGCAGGATGCAGGGATTCATCGATTTTCAACTTGGGAATTCGGCACGTTCAAGTCAACAGCTCAACTCTCTGTACTGGGTTAGAGACAGGCTTGGGTACTGGACCCCTCAGTGGACAACAGTAAACAACCGGACAAACAAACGATGATAGAGGCTCACCACAGCTGACCAAAAGACCCCTGCTTTCCCTGCTCGCCTGTCATCGCACAGACTACGCTACGAACATGTTGCAGCGTAGCGCCAAACAGTACAAGGGCTGCATTAAAGTGGATAGTACAAACTGGTACCTTTTCATTATCAGGTTCGAATTACAGTACACACTCGTTTGAAGAGTAGTAGTAGTAGTAGTAGTAGTAGTAGTAGTAGTAGTAGTAGTAGTAGTAGTAGTAGTAGTACTAGTAGTAGTGGCAGCAGCAGCAGTGGCAGTTTTTGTCACTCGCATGGCACGCCGATGACAGCTCCGCGAGGACTTAACGGTAACTGGTCACAACAGAGCCCACCTAGAAACAACCGCAAAAACGCACACACCAGCAGCAGTAGTCGTGGTGGTGGTGGCGGTGGTGGTGGTGGTGGTAGTACCAGTACCAGTACTAGTGCCAGAGAGCTCCATGCTGTCCGCAAAGGTGCTGCTCGAATCATTGCGGTATCGAGGGACCCAAGATGCCAACGTCATCCCGGCTTCGGCACCTGAAAGAAACCCAAGACCGCCCAGAGACACTGCAACAGCAATCAACGGCTCAAGATTCACACCATCACCTCAGCCTTAGCAGTCCAGGCGCGAGACACATGGATGAAGGTAGTCCTGCCAGAGCCATCCTGACGCAAGGACAAGGTGCAGGAAAGCGCCTGCTGCCAACCCAAAAACATCATAATTAGTTTTGTGGATGTTGTGGCATGTTTCGACTCACTTTTGCAGGTCCTGGTCTGTCTCTCTGCTACAGCAAATTCGCAAAGACGTGCCCAGCCGCAACCGCCTTTCAGTGACTTTAGGTTTGCGTGGCGGCTGGGCAAGGTCGAGGCCGTGGAATCTTTCTGTAGATACGGCGGCGGCGCCAGAGGGAGCAAGTTTTTCCAAACCTGGTGTTATAGATGTTTACGCTGAAGCCAAGCTTTGGTGAGGCTCCCTGCTGGCTCGTTCCGCCCCTCACTTTTGGCCCTATTGAGGCCAAACAGCTTGCCCTCTGCCCGGACTGGCCAACTCCTCAACTTGGGACGTTGCCTCCGCATTGCCTTTACTGCCCGGGCGACCCCGCTTTCTGTTCTTGCTCTCTGGGTCAATAAAGCCCATTCCGCTTCCCGATTACTCACCGGGTGGAGCTACACCCGTCGCGCCCGCTTTGAGTCACGATGCTGCATCGATCAGTGTGGTTGCTGTACCTGCCTCACCCCACTTGAACACCCCCACTACGGCACCTTCCACACCACCGCGTGGTTGCTAGCCAATGATGCGCCGTCCATGTGTGCACGGTCTGCCTTTGTGATTTCCCGTCGCACCTCATGCGGCTTCCAGAGATTTGCTGTGATGCTCCACGGCCGGATGGCGCGCCAGGACTTGGCCGGGACCTTACATGCTCCTCTGCAACCATGCTATCGGATGCTATCTCAATCTAGCACCAAGATCAGTCAACCACACGACAATGTGTTGCGGCCAGTATGAATCGATTCCCCCCCTGTGCGATGCCTAGGGCCTAGGGCCTAGCTCCCACCGCCTTGAAACAGCTGCCTGCATCTGCCTGCCATGCAGTAGCAACGTCAAACTCATTGCAGTCGAGTTGCATCCAAGGCTGTCTGGTCGAATTCTGTGCGGATGCCTTCCAAGATAAACCCGTTCGTCTCATCCCGGTATCGGAACAGTTCCTCAGAAGAGCTTCCGTCGAAGAACCGAGTCTGCTTATGAGTTTCCGCATAATTGCTCACTTTCTATCTTACAGACCAGGTGCATGCAGCACCTCGATGCGCAAGACTGTAATGTTGAAGCACATCATGTACACCTAGCAAGTCCAGCAAGTCCAGCTGTTCATCACAGCTCATGCCCCAGCTGACATCGCACAAATACAGCTTGTGGACTCACCTGAATGTGATAGATCAATAAGTTGATTGATCACATGAGTTTGATCACATGAGTTTGTGTCATGACATACGGTAGTTGATTTCGACCGACCGCCTTTTGCCAAGGAGATGCGCTGCCCAGAGTTCTCACGGGCTGGCACAGCTGCTTCTGAACCTGCCGGGGGCCGTGTTTTTGTCAGCTGTGCCATTGAAGACTTGGCATTGACGCGGGGACGGCTGGTGGCGACAATATCGAGATTATACGGCAATTTATTACGTCACATAGAAGGTCGTAGAGGGATGCTAGATATCCCAAGCAATCTGCAGTTTACGGGGTAACCTGGCCCTGGTTGTGTCACGGAAGCACTGAGAAGCAACAGCCCGAGACACGATCAAAGGACTCGTGTCGTTGCCCAACGGACACGACAAGGATGCTCACCTGGTATGGATGGGGTCGCAATACACCCATCAGCTTGGTTTGTTGCGGATTCTTCCATGCGGAGGTGGCCCTTCGACCAACGACCACAGATTTCCCAGAATCGACCTGAAGGATGAGAGTTGTGAATTTTGTATGGGCCTTGCCGTCAAATAACCCCGCACCCCCCCCAACCGTCCTCACGATAGTGATTTTCGTGGAATAATCATGAACAACTGTTGTTCTTAATATTAGTCTTGGTGGCTGTGCTTTTTATCTATCAATGTTACGGTCCTGCCACCAGCACCCGCCCTCCGCCCCACAATCAATTGATTTCTCGTATCATATAACAAGTAGGAATGATGCCAATGATGATAATAATAGCAGCCATAACAATAGTACTGTAACCATTATCGTTTGAATAGTCTTTGCGGATGCCCTCGCTGCCCGCCATTCCGCCTGCGACCGGCTACACAGCGCCATCGCGCGTATGTGTGAGTTTCTCTGATTGGCCGGCGTGGAGTTCTGTTACAGTATGGTGGATAGGCCGAAGCTTGAGTGTTGGAAAGGTCTGCTTAAGAGGGCCTCTGCTTGGCACCGTGGGGCTCGTTACGCTCGAGTGCAGTGGGCCACCTTTGTGCAGTTACTCCTTCCGGTTCGCTACGAGCACAGCGACGGCATGCGAGTTGGCTTAGCTCGGCCCTGCGACGGACTATGGTTGCCCTACGGCTGGCCGGACTTGAAACCGTCTGTGCCACCTTGCCTTCTTCCCTGCGTCTGCAAGGGACCTGTATGGCTGCTGGCATACTGCCACACTGCCACGTCCAGGACGGCCGCCCGTCTCTTTCTCTCAGGTTCAACACGGCTCACCACTTGCATTCGCTCTTGCATTAGGTGAGTTCGTATCGGAATCCTCAACCTCGCCAAAGAAAAGAATCATTATCGTGTTGATAATTTTGATATTATTGTTAGTGGTATTTTCCCACCCTGTTAATGGTATTACTGATTAGGTTCTTTGTTTATGGTATTGTGATACTGATAAACGAACATGTAAGTGCATCCCCACCGCCACCGCCACCGCCACCAGAATAACGATAATGACAATAATCATATCTGCTTCTTACAACAATAAAGTTTAGTCAGTTTAGTCATGATAATAGTGCATCGTGCTTATCATAATGAATAATGGTTGTAGACTGTTGTCGCCCGCATGGCACGCCAATGACAGCTCCACTGGGTGCAAACGACGACTCGGCTCAGGTAACGGATAAATCATGGACACCCCAACCAGAAGAACAAGAATGGTAATAGTGACCCTCGTGAAGTTGAGGGGGGTTGGTGCCATGTGAGTGACAAATATCAGTACAATCATTATTATAATTATTACTATTACTGGAAGTATTGCTGCTTGTATTAATGTCTTGATTCCAGCTTTGTTGTGGGGCTGGTGGTGGTCGTGGTGGTGGCGGTGGTTGTGGTGGAGGAGGTGGTAACCCCACACAGGCTGAGGCAGCGGAGAACTGGATCACCTGAAGGCCCCTGGCCCCAGACCTATAACCCTCGCAAGAGTGCCCGGCACCAAAAGCTCCTGGGAGCCTTGTGGATGAGGTCCACCTCCTCAAAGTGGGACATGGCCTCTCAAGGCTGACAGGGGGACAAAGCAGCCTTCCGCCACACCGCCAGGTGTCCATGGGCAGCCTGGCTCAGCGGCTGCTCCAAATCGATTACCTTGGAGCTTCGCAGTTTCCCTGCACCCTGTATGACCCTGTCACCAGGTCCGAAGTGTCAACTTCTCCTATAGCTCCGGGTTGCGAGGCGATACTCGAAGACCCGGCAGCTCGGATCCCGCTTCACTTCCATTCGCGTGTTGTCCTCGGGCTGCAGCTGCGCGGCTGCGCAGTCCGTCAAAGTCAGCTCTGTCACATGTTATGCTGCATCGCTAACCTCCACTGCACTTCCAACACATGCCATGGCCATTGCAGTGGTGACCCGCCTGCTGCCACAGCAACTCGAACCCGTCGCTGTCCAACATCTCCTGCCACGAAGTACACAGCAGATTTCAGGCCATTGGTGAGCAGTTCGCTAAGCACAGGAGAAATTGCGGAGCGCTCTTGCATTTGGGGTTCTCGCCGCTAGGTTTTGGAGGCCTGATGAAAATCAAGCAGGTGTCTGGACCACCTGGCGGCATGCAAACTTTGGCTATCCTGGTATTCATTGCGTTTTTTGAAGCCAGAACCCTTCCTGTGCGCGGTGGGGTCTGCAAACTTCTAGTGTCCGCCGGCAGGTGAGATGAGTTTCACATTCCTACAGAGTGAACTTCCAACTGCCAGTTCGCCACCCACCTCCCCTCGTAACTCAACTCACTGTTGAAAACCTGGCGTGAACTATTGGACTTTCTCGGCTGCCTGCAAAGCATGTTCGCAAGTGAAGTCGATGACGAGTGGAGAGTCTTGTCTTGGTTTTGCTTCCATAAAGCCCTCTCCTGTGCTTGAAGATGGCTTCAGACTGCGAGTGCAAAGATCCCATACCATCGGCTCAGCATGATCAGAGCCGCTGTCCCCTTAACCGGAGAGGTGCGGGATGTGCGCTTGCGGTTGGTCGCTCGTGGCAACGACAGGAACAGAAGTTCATGTTCTTTAGCGGCCCTATCTCTAAGGAGTTCCAGAAGAGGAACGCTCTTGTGGGCCGCTGCAGCTTGCGGGATGGGACCAGGTGCTCACGCACGGTCCTTGGCGAAGTCGTGCCCGCCTTGATGTTGCCTTTAGGACTAAACTTTAGGAGTTCGTTGTGCTGCTGCGCGTGCAAAGGCGAGGCCAATCGATTCTCGTCATCCTTGATGCCGCCGTCGCTCTGGTCTCAGAACTATGTAGGCCCAGCGCCGAATACACAAGGCATCAGCATGGGTTTTGCTTCGTTTCCTCCTTTTTTTTTTGTCGTTGAATCTTGCCTGGCCATTGTAGGGATTGCGACACTACCTCAGGCCAGCAGCAACGCAAGCTCCCACTCCCAGCTGTTGTTCAGCACGAACTCGCTTTCGTGAGCCATGCTCTGCTGGAGAAAGGCAGCTTTCAATCACACAAACAAGCATGCGCAGCATGCAGCATGCGGCACTGCAGGGTGTACATGGAATGGCCTCACTTTGATGTGAACCCCTGCGCAGTTCCGGCCTTTGCCAGTTCGTATTGACCCAGGCATCGTTGGACACGACCTTTGCTGTGTGAGAGCTTCACACATCATGTGTGTTCCCTTATGGAACACTCGAGAAGAGGTAAGCCAAACGCGGAAGGTATCGGCATTGCGCAAGCCCTCAGCTGAAGCCTTGCATCCCGTCGTTGGACATGGCGTCGTAGATTGTCAACCTGCGCCTGGCTCAACTGATCCAGGGCTGCCCCCAAAACTGCATCGGCTCTGTCCTGAGCAAGGCAGCGGCTTCTTTAACGAGATGGTGCATACATATGTATACACAGAATATATGCATTTGTTCAGATGTACACTGTTTGTGTGAACGGGGATGCCCAAACAGTGAACGACCATACACGGGGCATTCCATAAGCAGCGGCGGGGTCACGAAGCGGACCATCAGGACAACAGACCAGCAAGTGACCACGAAGAGATTGAGAGACCACCACCAAAGCGACAGGACTACCAAGTACTGGACGGAGCCACGTCCAGGATGCCCCCAAGTACTTGCGAGATGCAGAAACATTCGAGAGCCTCGCCCAAGCATTGGCGGGTCGAGGACCCCAGGTACAGGTTCGTTTCGGGGGCAGCCGACTTAGTTTCCCCTGCCCCCAGCACCAGATTGCGAGATTCGGAGGAACACCCGAAATCGTCTCCGCCTGGTACTGCTCCCATTCAAAGTTGTGACACAAAAGTGGTCCATGTCGTACAATTTACAATCACTCCTGGCCGCGGGGCCGCGCCTCCACACCCCGTTTACTTCGCACACAGGAACCCATGCTACAACACTGTTTGGGGAAGAAGCAATGACGGCTTGAATCTCACAGTTCTCTTGCAGCTTGGAGGCAAGGTTGAACTCCCGAAGATGTCGTTCAGCTTCCTGGAGGCGGGACGAGTTTCAAGATGATGGAGCAAAGCCGCCACGACAACTATTGCGACGGTGACGGCACACAGGCAGTAACATGCACAAATTTACATGCCAAAAGCGTGGCTACGAGGGTTCGGCGAGCATTGTTTGACAGTGGCGGGCACATTCCTGCTCACTGTGAAGCTTGCTCGAGTGCACTACGGTATCAGAGATTGACAAAAGATGCATTCAGCACCCGGGCGTCACAATCATGCGAAACAAGCAGAGGTTTAGACCCAACCTGTTCTTCGTGATTGGGCGGGGAACAAGCTGGTCCCAGCCACAAACATTACTTTAAGCAGTTGGTACATGGAAACACTATTTTTGCATGGTGAGCGCTGCCTGCTCAAGTGCGATTGGTCTATACTCAAGGGATCTCAAGGGTATAGCCTGCATGCAGTGTCTGCCTTCTACTCAATCAGTGTGGTCCGTATACAGGCCGCCGCATATATAGTGATGCATGCAGTCTACGGCTTACCTTGTACTGTATTCCTGATCTTCACGATAAAAACCAGCTCCATGCTAGTGGTGAAACAATCCGCAGTTTGAGCGGTACATCTACACAATCTACCATACCCACCACTAGTACTGCTACGACTACTACTGTTGCTGCTACTGCGCCTGCTACTGCTACTACTACTACTACTACTACTACTACTACTACTACTACTACTACTACACTACTACACTACTACACTACTACTACTACTACTACTACTACTACTACTACTACTACTACTACTACTACTACTACTACTACTACTACTACTACTACTACTACTACTACTACTACTACTACTACTACTACTACTACTACTACTACTACTACTACTAGTACTACTACTACTACTCCTGCTGCTGCTACTACTGCTACTGCTACTACCACTACCACTACCACTACTACTACTACTACTACTACTACTACTACTACTACTACTACTACTGCGTACGACTACCACTACCACTACCACCCCCACCACAACCAGCAGCAGCACCAGCAGCACCACTAGCACCACCACGACGACTACGACAACGACTACTAGTACTGCTACTGCTGTACGTCTACTACGACGCACTGCCTCGAGAGCTTGCTGTGCGAGTCGTTCTTCGTGTTCGCCAGCCTGGTCAGGCCAGGCCCTCAAGTTTGAGGAAGAACAAACCAAATCGCAGGCCCACGCCCAGGGACTTGAGAGATGACAGGAAAAGGGGATCCTACGACTGTGGGACGGGCATGCCAGACTTGGCATTTCTGACGGACTAAAGTCAGTCAATGTCCCAGGCAATCGGAATCTCAACTGGGAGCTTTGGTTTTAACGGCATGGGACAGCTCCGACATGTGAGGCGCAGGGAAGCCTTGAGCGCAGTACTGTGTGCGTCTGCTGTGCCTTCGTAGGGACTTCGTGTCGGGGTGTTCTTGTTTCACTGGGCGATGCGCAGAAGTGCTGTAATTAAGTAAGCGTTACCCTCGGCAGGTCATGCATGCGAGGCATCGCACGCCATTTGTGTTACCACTCGTGCGAGTTACGACAGTGTTACAGAGGGAGCAACAAAAAAAGCCCGAAGGTGCACCCATTGTCAGCCACGCGATGCAAGAAATGTGAAGAAGCCTGCAAACCCGGACACCCCGAGACTCCACGCAAGATGCAATACGGAGATATACGGAGACTTCACGAATGGAAGTTGCCGTCGGTGGATTACAGCGGCCTTTGCAGCCTGCGTGGCCTTTGTGCGGATCTCTTCCTGAGCTAAGCTGAGGGGTACTCTTGTGCAGAGTGCACTCCTGGCGGCCTACTGGGCGCTTGCACTTGCGACTCCAAGTCTCGTCCTTCTCGTCCTTGTTCACGATGTCGGCATCGAAGGGCAGCTTGTCCTGGCAAAACTGCGTCGCGCGGCGCCCTGTGGAGGAGCATGCTAACTTGTGGCCTGACTTGCTCCATACAATCAAGTTGCACAAGCTCGGTCCTGAGGAGTCGCCAGCTCGATTTGCTCAAGAGCCTCTGCATCAGCAGCTGCCTCGCAAGCTCAAACTGGGATTGGCCCGAAAACATGGCCGCTGCGCCTGGCAACAGCTGGTTGCATGGCCCATGGCAGGGGGACATGCTCGACTCCTTGGCACTCCTGCCTCGAGAAATCAATTGCCGACGGATGCGCAGGCAAAGCAAGTATAAGTATTTTCTTGAAGAGAAGCTGACAGAAGGATTCGAGACTGTGATGCGTGCTGAAACCCGTTGAGCAGTGCCAGTTCCCGTGTCTGTGTGTTGACGCGGCCTTTTGAGTGCCTGACAACACGAAATGAAACACCAAAAGCCAGCACGAGCGAAATCGAGATTATGCATAGCCAAATGCTGCCAGTCTGGCGGAGGCGCCCTGATGATGTGGGATGCCAAGTAAAATCGTCACTTGGCTGCAAGTGTCAGGCGGGCAAAGTTCCGCAAGGAGGACGAAATCGAAGCGTGCAGCGAAACTCGAGCAGGGTTCTTTGCGATTCTCGGAATGGTCGAAGCTCCGCGAAGTCCCGCTTGGCGGTTGGACTCGCGGGCTTCATGAATCTACTCAGCCTTCCAAGCTCAAGGCTGAATCTGAAGCATATGAAGCAGTTTCTGCAGCATGGTTTCCTGAGTCATCGAAGCAGGATGTAAAGCATTCAATTTTCACTTGGAAGCCGGTCGCAACCTTTGGGAGACATCTGACTGTACCAAGTCCCGATTGCCGAACACTGGATAAGCTGACATGCTAAGCATGTGCCACGCAGCCGGTTGCAAGCGTCGTATGTCGCAAAAACTCTGCAGATGCACAAAAACGGAGACTGTACAGGCATGCCGGCAGACGGCATGCTTTCACACGAGCCACCACCAGCAAATTTTAAGATCTGTTAACCTGAAATGAACCCGTGCAAAGTGTGGATGTAATCGCACTTGTCAGCTGGCGCGAGAAGCTCCTGCTCGGCAAAAACGCTGTCTGAGAGCCCAGGGCCCAGGGATGCCCAGGGAAGCATGTGCATTGTCAGTCCTGACTGGCTTCCCTTCCGGTCGGCTTGGAGGCTGAGCTCTGTCTGGCTCAAAAGCTTCTGCGCCTGACATGGACATCAGAGCCGGAGCCGCCTAGAAGCCGCCTAACTGCTCTCCGCTGGGACGCTGGCCATATCGAATCATCGACATCAACAACTCACGTCTCACACGACTCTCCACTCTTTGCAGTCCTACATTGTACGAGTCTGGTCGGCTGCACACTTCAATTTTGCAATTTACAACTGGCTGTAGCATGCTGTAGCTAATGCTGAAGCACCGATCGACTGCAGGAGAGACTAGCGCTTGATACAGAAGGGGAGATGCATATACCTTTTTGGCATTCTGTCGGCCTTCCGTCCAGGAAGCCGTGCCGGCGGCGGCAAGCCGTGGCCCAGCGCAGGGAGGAGCAGCCTTGGCTTGGGCTCCGAGCCCTGGCACGCGCTCGAAACACTCAGAAGAGTCGCGCAGGGGGCTCTGAGAGAGGGACGGGGAGCTCCTCTGCAAGGCAGGTCTCGGGGAAAAAGCCAAACTCAGTTGGCGCCTGATCCACAGAACCACAGCACATCCCATGCCAATTGAATCATCTTGAATCGTGCTGCATCTGGGTGGTCATATGATTACTCGTAGCAGCAACAGCAAGGCACTTCAGCTCGCTGCCACCTTACGCCACATAAATCTGTAGCCTCAATCGCCAGATCCCGATCCCCTTCAGTTGCCAGCAGAGAAGCTTTTACGTTGTCGACGGTGCCAGTTCTCCAACCCTTTGGGGTCGACCCCTCACTTCACACCGACCGCAAGCGGCTCTCGAATGCCTAGGAGCCCCCCGGTTGTTCTGAGAGCAAGCATGAACGGCATAAACGGCTATATCTGTTGTCTGCAACAAACCCTGACCTGAATACGGTCAGCTTTACGCCCGGTAAGACTTGTCATGCAGACAGAAATGAAAGCGGCTCTCAACTTCAATCCGGTGTTTCTTGCTGTCGCATGCTACACACATTTCCAACCTTCAGCGTGCGGCCATACAACCAGCCTGCCGGCATGTCTGTGGTGACTCTAGCAGCAGTGCCTAAAAGGTCCGATCTGCCACGCTTACGCTAGAGGTGGAGAGGACGCACAATTGATTCCTACAGCATGAACTTGCCCCGCCTTCCGACGCGCACAAGATTTCCAAGAAGTCGCCAGCAAGGACTCTCAGGAATCTCTTGGCCTGTAAGCGACAGCGCCAGGCGGCAACATATCTACACTTTGCTTCGACCTCCTCTTGTGGATCCTGTTTCACGATGATGGCCATGCACTTGTGCAGCAGCGACTGCTACATTGCTACAGATTCTCAGCTAAGGTGTCCTCAGAATGGTTTCCCCTTGCCGTCCTCGATGTCATCAGGCTGGTAGCTGCTCTTGGCCTTCACCTAGGAAAACACCATAGATTCAAGAGCACATACTCCAGCTGCGAGGGCAGCAGCCGCTTAGAATGTATGCTCCTGGCCTCGCCGCCTTGCCTCAGACATTCCCAGAATGATCCACTTGTGTGCTTTCGAGTCTCCTCGAAACCACGCTCCGGCAAATGTTGGCGTGCCAGTGGATGTGGCGGTTGCGATGTCACCCTGCCAGTTCCTCTCAGGCTTCGACATTTGCTTCAGACACATCACGAAGCCAGAAAAACCAAATCCACAACCGACCAAGCCTAAACGGCGCACGCGATTTTCTGGAAAGAAGCCAGCACGCTCAGGATCCTCCAAGCAGGAAGCTTTCGCCGAATGCATCGAGCTGTGATGAACAGTACAACAAGTTCTCAGTCACGCAAAACACAAGCAGATCTCACCAGGACGTATCGCGGCATGGCACGTGCAAATATGACGATAGAGAATCACAAGCCATCAAAAGACCACCACTCATCCACCAAGTACAAGGTCCTCCCCCTTCAAACATGGCTGTTTCTTGTCAGCCGAAAGTCTTGGCTGGTCTACCTACCCTACAAGGAATCCGACAAGAGCTCCTTCGCAGCATGTCCGTAAAGCCAGGCCGCATCCACTTTTGCCTCAACCTGATGCAGGGTCCGCAACTCAAGAATCCAAGCGAGCCACGGCAAACAGCTTGATCAAAGCCTGTTTAATGCATTTTCCCAGATCGAGCGATTCTGCCAGCCCTATTGCAGGATGGCTTCAGTAGCTCAGCATCCAGGGTGGGCACTTGACCGCAGCACTGCGGCCTGCAGAATATCACCTTCATCGAATCGCAGGGCCGAGGAGCTCAGCTGAGTCTCCTGGTGTTGCTTCTGAGGAGGACATTCTTCGCTCAGCCGTTCAGCCCTTCTTGTAGTGATTCTAATGCGTCGTTAGCAAGTGCGTCCCAACCTAAAACGCTCGCCGCCAGCGGCCGGCGACCTTTCACGTTCGAAAGCCAACACCGGCCAACACTCCGGATTCAAATCACTCCCTGCTTGTCCCCCGCCGCACCCACTCTCTCAAGGACTCTAGCGATCTTTCTGTTGTATCGATGCCGCAAGTCGAGCGACAGCCACGTCATTTGGCCATGGGCCATGCATACCGAGCTTTCTGCAGCTTGCTGCACCTTCGGGTTTGATTTTTGATGGTGATGGACATGTCACACGGACAAGGCCGTCTGCAGATATCTGCAGCACACATCTTCTGCGGTTTGGACATGCAGGTGAGGTTGATCAATGCCTGCGCAGTACCTGCAAAAACAAATCGAACTCTATCAAGGCCAACAAATGTGTTTTGGTATTTCGGCGAATCAGCGGCGGCAGTACTGCCTAGTCTGTCCTTCCGGTCTCGCCAAAGGCTCCGTACGGCTCGCCACGCAAGGCCGCGAAGGCAAGCTTATGCATGCAGTGTCATCGCTTGTGCTCCTCCGGATCGAAGGCATGTACGGCACAGGCATAGTAGTCACCTCGGTCCGACGAGATCGCCGTCAGCCCAAGCAAATACTGTAGTGTCCACAGCACTTTCCCGGCAGCGCCAAGTGACGCTGCCATGCCCATCCCGGATCGGGGAGATCTGGCAGAGCAGCTGACCTCGCACTTGAGCGAAGCTAGAAACTTTTCCAAATGCATCGATGCACCCTTCGAAGAGGCTCTGCCTTGCTCTGACCACGCTCAGGAAACTGCCAAACGAGCCGGCGTCGGCAAGCTAGCTTTCGTTTTGGACTGCTCGTGTGTCTGCCTTTCCTTGTCCAAGGATTTGTCCAAATCAAACTTGGTCTGTTGGTGCTTCCTCCGCAAGTGCAGCTTGTCTAATCCGACAAACGGCTCCTCGTGCTGCATGTCATCGGGAAGCGGAAATGTTCTGAGAAGCCGATCGTGCTCGAGGCCAAGACCTTCTTGATCCCACCGACCTTTAGCATGCCAGTCGCGCGAAATGCTGGATGTCCTGATATGTCCTGATTTTATCGCCTACAGGTGGCGCGGCTTGACTTCGGCTTGTTCATAGTTGTAAGAAAACCCAATTCTGAACACCTGTGAGAATTTCAGCGTTGCCAATTGTCGCCGCATCTCGAGACATGTCGAGGGACTAGCCAGCACAGCAGCCAGCCTCGACTGCCCCATCTTTGCTCCACCCAAAATCTTTCGCCAGTCTGATGTGTTTGTCCGTGCGCGCGTGTGAGAGTTCTTGTCCATCTCTCGATGGGACGGGCTTTGACTCCTGTCATGATTGAAGCATTGAAGCCAGTTGGCCAGTTCTCGCCGATTTGCTCATCTTGCGCAGAGGCCGCAGAGATAAGTTAGTTTCAGTTGATTCTTACTCTTCTTTCGCCAGAACTGATTCTTTCTCTCTCTGGCTCTCTCTCTCTTTCTCTCTCTCTCTCTTGGGACATGCCCCCGCGGGAGCAGCCCGTCTGTTGATGCCTGCTGAAGGGACGCACGGTGTTATGCGCGAAACTTAGAGGAGTGACTCGTGGTACAACGACTAGTTAGGTACTGCTCTCGCCTCGTTTGTGGAGAGTTCGCGACATGTTCTCGCTTGCTCCCAGGACGCCTCGCCCCGAACTTCAACAAAGCACGGATAACATCGGATAACCATTTGCTGTATAAACACATCACATAAAGCTGACAACACTTCCTCGGGCTCTGGCATCTATCTCAGCTTCCGTGGATTATGGGTTTCTACCCCGGTGGCAGGCTCAACTGTGTTCCAATACTTTGGGTACGATGCCAACATACTCGAAGAGGACAATCTTGCTCCCAGTGCCTCGCCCCGGTTATCGTCCGCTCTGCTCACGTGCTCAGTGATGCAAACTGGCCGCTCAGGAATCCTACCAAGTAGTCAGTATTCCTACCATGTTCAGGGTCCCTGGCATGTGGAGCACGCATGACTGTGTGACACTGTACACGCAGATTGTCCCGGTGGCAGGCTTTGTCAACTGACACACACCTCGCTCTCTCTCTCTCTCTCGTGCTGTCTCGAAGCCTGGAGACTCCATCGAAGCTCGAGCTCGGCTCTTTCTTGTACCTCCGCCTCATCGAGACCAGCGTGCGTGGCAACAAGTCTTCCGGTAGTCTGGATTTTCTAGGCAAACGAGCAGAGTAACATGCTTCATGACTGCACACGAGCCTCAAGCGAAAAATGAGCCACGTGCAAACAGCAGCCTTGCAACGAAGGAAGGCACTCTCTGCTGTGCAATATTCGCAGCCACCAGCAGCTCTCGTGTAATTGAGTGTTGGGGGTATCTGGAGGCCACGGAAATGTTGACATCCACTTGCTAGTTAACTAGTTGACCCTACGTGCAGCCGCGCTTGTTTCTTCAAGCTGTCGTACCCCAGCGCAGGCACACTGAGGGTTGCCCAGGTCAATTCATGAGCCCAGCAGAGCCGTGCCCCGTGAAACACGAACGAGACAAAAGATCACGGCTTTCATGTTCATGTGCCTTGTGCGCTTACTCTCCGCTTCCAAGGTGTGCTGGACGCGCTGAGCTCATGCACATGCGGCGGTTCCAAATATTGGAAACTTGGACACTCACAAACTACGTGGTGATCCGACGATCTCGCAGTTAAAAGTGTCTTGGGCCTTTCTAGGCTAGGCTCGTCGATGTCGTCGGACCAAGTGAAACCGCTCGGCCCTATCAATTTCTTGAGGGTGCCTTCAGCAGGAAGAAATCAAATCAGGGCCCTTGGTAACGTCCAGGAAGTCAAGCCACTCTCCTCGTGGCGGAGGTACCTGCGGCCGTTTTCGTCTCTGTGGGCTGTCCAGCCTGCAGGTATCTGTTGTGCGCGTCGGAGTCGCTTCGCAAGTGCCGCGCACTTCGCGTGTTTGACATCCACCCGGTCTGCCGACTGCGCTGCCCGGTCAATCCTCGTCCGGATCTTGCGCTGGATTCGATCTGCCTCGGTCGTGATGTACTCCATCTGCTTGGCAACGAGGAGCATCAAACGGTTAGTGGCCGAGGTTGTGGTCGAAATGTTGAGAGCCCAGTTTGCAGTTCTCTCGATGAGGCGCTCGGCCCCGAGGGGGTCCATGCCTCTTTTTGTCAAAAACTCCACGTCGACTTTGATGTCCTTCTCGGCCTTTGCCAGGTCTTCTCGTGTGCAAAGCCGTCGGTCTGTTTTCATTTGCATCAGCTTCTTGACATGAGCCGGGTCTAGGTCTTGTGCCAGCATATTCAAGAGATCATCGTCAGGAACACTCTTCATGGACCCTTCATAAGATCTCTGGTACCACAAGTTCTTGGCAACAGCCAAGATCTGTCGTGGTAGCCCGATCCCTGGCTCGCCCAGAGCCTGGCGAACCTCCAAGAAAAGCTGCAGCACAGCTGCAGTCAAAACCCTGGAAAGAACCACAGTCGTGGACAGGAAGAAGCTCCACCACCAAATCATTGCGAGAACAGGGGCGACATTTCGCATGGCGTCGTAGTCAAACTCCCCCAGCATTACTTGAGTCAGAGTTATGACAGAGCCCCCAAAAGTGGACCAAGCAGGCACTTGCTCCCCAAAGAGGATGTATCCACTCAGTGCAAAATTGCCGCACACCACCAAAAATACAACCTTGGCACAGAGCGGCGTGTTACTCTTCGCAGGGGGAATCAACACCGCTGCACCGTTTCAGGTGTCCTAGAAGCTAAATTGACACATCCTTGCTGCCGATTGAACACCTGTTAACCATACTGAACTCAATTTCTTCCTTTTTGGTGGAAAGCTATGCGTTCTTTAGGCCGTGCCTTTGTAGGTCCTTCAGGTTACGGCACAAATAGGCACAACTACGGCGAGTCAATTGCGACCCTCTGTTGTTGATTGTTGTGTGGTGTGGTCACCTCTGGCACTAGCATCGTTGGTCTGCAGAATACGACGAGAATCCAATCTTAAAAGCGATCATACTGATGTGGGACACCGTATGAAGCAACGAAGGCCTCGCAGCTCCAGGAATCCACACTCACCCGACGAGTGCCCGAATACAAGGATGCTGACAGCGTCGCCGGCTTCAACAGCGAAATCACCCCGACACAGTGCCAATGCGTCTCCTGTCCTATCAGCTCACTTGTAAGTTTCTGCGCGACCCTTACCGCACACCCAATACTTACACAACACATCGTACAGACTTGTTGACAGCATCGCAAAGTGCATTGCTAAATGCGGGCGAACCTTACAACATGCCAAGATGTCTGCAGTGGCTTGGGAGTCGGTAGCGAGATAACGTACGAAAAGCAGGAGACTGCTGGTTGCGTCTGTTTTGCTCAACCGTGCATAACGACCGACAGTCTCACACTCACGGACAGCGCACTGAAGCATTTCGACCCGCGCCAAGGTGCCAAATAATGCAGGAACAGGTTCGACATGTACAATACCTGTGAACAGGCACACTCCAACCTCTCAAACCTAAGGAGCACACGCATCCCTGGCTGGCAAGGCACTGACTGCAATATCACGGACGTGCGCGGCTGCCCAGTGAAGCCACGATAGAAACGGAGGCATAGGCAAACCTCATCCCATGCACGCGCAGCACAATCATTCGCGAACTATGGAAGCACGAGCCGATTTGGCCAAACTGCCGCGTACCAGGCCGTCATGAACCGCAACCACAGGCTCACGCTGAGGACGTTGTCAAACACCGCCAGAAGTTCCGAGCACTCAGGGGGCGAACACATCCATGTGTCGTTTGACGATGCAAGTCCCTTGCCCTCGCTTGTCGGGTTTTAAAAAACTAACAACTCTCAGGGGTCCCGCCCTCCGTCTCCCTATCCCCAGAAAGGCCCACAACCATCAGTGGTCACCCAGGTGCCGTCAGATTGATGAGTGCATGCTCCCTCCAGGATAACTCTCAGTTTTCGGGCCTCACACACAAGCCTCCTCTTGCTTTTGGTGTGTGTGCGTGGGTGCATTATATACCTGTTTATATATACACACATAAAAACAGAGAGAGAGAAAGAGAGAGAGAGAGAGAGAGCATAGATGTCTCTACATCTCTCGCAATACGTAGATGTGTAACAAGATCTGGGCACTTGCTTTTCTAGATCTCTCGCAGCACATAGGCGTTCGGGGTAAGCGCTTGCGTTGTGGGGCCTTCTCCGAGCCTCTCGCAGCACATAGATGTTGAACAAGATCGGGGTAAACGCTTGCTCCTGATTAGAACTGCATACCGCAAGCTGTAGACGAGCTCCGCGAACCTTCTCGGCTATCATGCGCTTCAATTGATTCAATTGTGTTTGATTTTTGGGTGTGATTCTGAACACTGCTGGAGATGCCCAGGTGACGCACTCGCTGCTTGTTCCGGATTGTTGCGTCTGAGCCTGAGCCAGCTGCGGACTCGTGTTCCTGACTCAGCGCTTTTCTGTTCCCGACTCCGGTCGGGCAGAGGCTCCTGACTCCGGCCCCTGGACCTGGCGGACTCAGGTGTTCCCGACTCGAAGGGGTCGGCGTAGACTCGTCTTTCGCATGTCCCGTCATGACCAAGTCGGGGAAATCACATCAATCTCCATCTTTCCCACTCCCAACCCCCACATGCATGGGCGCAGCCATCTCAAACGAAAGAGCAAAGGCGCAACATTGGTGCGCCGCTACAATAAGATAGCACAAACAACAAGTCGAGCACAGGCCAGCCTTGTTCCGATACACTCGGTTCTGCAGAATCGACTGCACTTTACGAGCGGCCGGTGCTTCTAACACCGACCAGGTCGGCATCTCGCCCAAGTCGGAAACCATGACAGTAAAGTTTTGCGTGTCCACCACGAAGGCTAGAGCCATGAAAACGATGACCTCAGCTTTCCGAGGCTTTATTCGGCTTGGCCTTCTCGCTTGAGCACAGTTCAATCTGCACGCTGGCAAGATGCCAGCGCCACAAGAATCGACACCATGTCCAACCAAGTCCAAATGTCCCAAAAATGCCTGACAATGCCGCGATTGTGCTTGGAGGCGTGGGTTGCGAGTTGCAGCTAGAGATATTGCAAGGATCTCGTCTGCTCAAGCAAAGCTGCAGCTGCCAAAGCCCTCGCTTGTATTCAGTGAGGCACTGCTGCATGAACCACAGTAGTTGCACGGACAGAAGGATCCTTGGGTGCATGACTCGGTGCAGTAGCGGAAAACATCTCCAGCGTGTTTGTTCATAACAACTCTCAACTGGAATAGCCCGTTCTCATGAAACTTTTCATTTTCGTTGAGCATGCAGTGTGGCTGCAGGCAAGGCGCGCAAAGCATAAGTTGAGAAATATGTGCGACCAGTGCGTGACTACTTCTGCCTGAGGTGGACGGATTGTGGGACATCCCCATGCCCAGATACGCTTGACTTCTTCCACTTTCTCCGCCGTACACTTGCAGCAGAGAGGCTTTCATTGGGATCACACGCAGGCTGCTCTCGATGAGGCCCTCTCTGTGAACCACCACAAGAAGCCGGATTCGCACATACACGTTGGTTTGCAAATTCACGAAAAACGCGTCCATCGTGAGGTGCTGCCTGGAAGACAATATGGCGCTGCAGGTTCAAGCCCCGTGCACGGTACATCACGCTTGTACGATCTTGAAAGGCATCAAGCAGGCTAAGTTGCGTTAATCTATCTATCCAGCCATTGTCAATGAGACTGTCAATCCGCGATTGCACTTCAGTGACCGGGCGTCCTGTCAGGGCAAAGCATGGAAGCTTCGGCATCGGGTGACAAGACACCGACCATTTCAACGGAGATGGTCGCCCGCCTGTGTCCAACCAGGCCTCGAACTCCCCGACCGGTCGTTCCGGACCCAGTGCCTTCAAGCCATCGCGAAACAAGAGCTCTTCACATGCTGGTCCCCGAAAAGTCGCGCAAACTGCCTGGAAGGCATCGTCCACGTCAGCGGGCCCAAATGAATTTCTCAGCTTTCGCTTTTCACCAGGCTGAGTTGCTTAAAGTTGCAGTGGGCAAAGCTTGCTAGACGAGTCTCACCACAGTCCCCGGAGATGCAGGAGGGTAACAAACGCCAGGATAGAATCGCTTAAGGTTGGATGTCAAGCCGTCGCATTCAACCATCGTGCCCTTCAGCTGGGTAATTCTCGCAAAGCCCACCTGAGAAACTGCCGAAGCTCCGGATTTCACTGAAAGTCCAGATCAGCAAACGCCAAGGCACAATTTTCACGGCATTGTCCATGCGACTGCTTGCGGGATCGATGGTCGGAGCCAAAGCTGTCTTCATCCACCATCCAATATCACCCAAGTCATGCATTTCATGCAATCGAAACGTTCTGTTCAGTCCAGTCATAGAATCAGGCCGGTGTGCTTGGGCACCGCTGATTTCCTCCTTTAGAATGTTCGCAGTCTGAAAAGGCCCCTCTGCTTCTCCCATGGTGATCACCAGCAATACATAGGCCAGCCTTGGCGGGTTCACAATGAGACCCGAAGCGACACTGATGCTGATCCTACTTCAAGGATCCTTTTCAGCCTCTCCCGGCCAGCTACTGGCTGTCACAGAAAGCTAGCTCCTCCAGGGCACATTCATGAGAGTCACAAGGCGGGACGCCAAAACTAGGCCAACGGCCAAATTGCGAAGGTCATCGGCAAGGTACCACAAGCTGTCCGCATACCTTTACCTCGGTGCGCACGGCAACATCCAGAGCCCAAGGCTTGCAGCATCCGCCGCAGGCCGCAGGTTCAGGTTCTTTTTTCAAGCTACGAACTGCCAGGAACTCCTCGAGCTGAGACAGTGTCACTCCGCCGTAGTTCGCATCCGGGTCGACAGGCGGCTGGCTATCAACGCCTCAGCGGCGGCGGGAGGGCGCTGCAGTGCATATCAGTGCACGTGTGTGCTGCAGGCTGTCGCCGAGGCTCTGTAAGGCATGGAGGCATACGCAGAGCCTTGTGACATTTCACTTGAGAGCTGAGATCCTGTCCAAGACAGTTTACCGCCACTCCCAGACAAATCGCCTTCCAAAGCATGCCACAAATGAGACGTGCACACCACTTCGGACTGCAGATTGCAGAATCGAAAACGGGACCCCATGGCCACTGCAACAAGCGCTTCTGCCAAGCTGACATTGAGCAATCGCGCTGAACCCTGCGACCCTAGAATCCGTTGACGCTCCTTCTGCGGAGCGCGGGGACCCTCCACCAGATCCATACTCATCGTAGTCCACCTCTAGTTCCTGAGTTGCGACGGTCATTGACGGTCATTGTATGTGATGGTCGAGTGGAAAATCGATAAGTCTCGCAGGAATTGGGATAGATCATGCGTTTCTGTGCCTCTTCCTCCTTGGCTTGTGCGATGTCCGCCTGGCGGGCTGCCTTGGCGAAAATGCCAAAGGGCCGCAAACGCAGAGAGCCCTCAGAAGCCTGTACAAACTCCAGCCAAGGCGCAAGGACCCAGGGCGCGATGGTGGAATTTCGCAGCGGAGGCGGCTTGCGCGGTGGCGGTGCGGGAATGTCTGGCTGAGTTCGAAAGCTGCCTGCCCATGAGCAGGTCTCGTTACGAGACAGAAAGATAAGAACAAGGATGAACAAGGTAAGCAAGGAAGACTTGCTTGTGAGCTTTATCGATAAGCTAGCTGGCGATCTCTTCGCAATGGTTCATCCTGCTCTCACCGCCAAAGGAGGCATAGGACATACTATGCCGGATACTCACCAATGGAGGATCTCGTGCACATAGGGACATGCATGCTTCGGACCGGCCATCTTCATTGGTCCAAATAGGTGGCACAGCCACGACGCTGCCAGGAAGTGAAGCGTCAAAGTGCTCCGTGCCAGCCTCCCAGCTTCAAGAAGCTACTTGGAACCGCCAAGGGGTGATGGTCACGGCAATTCTGTTTGCGGAGCACGGACAGATCTAATCTCGCAGATCCTACCATGAACTCGCATGTTTCTTGTCGCGACTTGCTGTCCTCCTGCGCCTCAGGCTTAACTTCTGATGCCGAGGCGTCCTGAAGCGGCAACCGAGAACCAGGATGCAGAGTAGTAGTTTATTCGAGCCAAAACTGAGAGGGCTTACGGCTGCAAAGGGCCCCATATCTCGGGGCAAACCTAATGCAAGCGAGCATCAGCCATCGAGTCTGGTCATCTGTGGTGAGACATGCGCGGGTGGTTGTCGACGCTTGTGCCAATTATGCTGGACTGCTCTTCTCGTATGGCCATTCCGAAGGCATGGGGACGAGCTAAGAAGTCTCGTTCCGACCAAAGTCATGTCTTTTTTGGTTTGGATGTAGAGGTCTGTTCTTGGAGCGCCATGAGAGCCAGAATTGCGACGGCGCAGCATTGCTGTTTGACCTGGCTGTGTGACAGGACCTTTCTTTACTACCAGCGCTGCAGTGAAAGAGCTGCATCGGCTTCCTCGAGCCAAGGGGCGAAGGCTGCTGCGGCACATCCTGGGCAGTGTCAGAAGTGCTAAGTCTCCTCTTCGCCAGCGACTTTGATTCTTCAACTCAGGCACCAAGCCATGGAAGCCACCAGAACTGTTCCAGAAATGTAGGCTGATCCTTCACGGGCCCGCATCTTTTGAGCACACATGAGCCGTTGTCACCCATGCCTGCAGCCTCCAGGAAATGCTCTCAAACTTCCAAGCTTGCCCTTTTGCGTTCAAACTTTCAAGGAGCAGGGGGGCTGGTCGAGTGCATGCTGGAACAGGAGCGCGCTTCATCTGCCTCAAAATCTGCATGAGTGGAGTTGTGCAATGAACACTTCCCACTAGCACAACAGAGGGGAACATGCTCAAAAGGGTACCGGCTTTCTCTCAAAAACAATCTGTTACTGTTGATGTCTCAAAGATCGCAGTTCTGTCGTCACACACTTGCAGACCAGTCATCCTTACGTAGATGGATGCTGCTTGTGCTAGCTTGTTACATCGGCATGCTGGGTTTATGGCTTTGCCTGGTTGCCATTGCACATGCAGGTACGCTTTCCTGGCTGCTTCATGCAGAGCTTCGTTGGCCCGAGTCGTATGAAGGGCCCTCGGGCCCCTGCGTATCCTATATCCTTCGGAACAGGAGTTGCACACACACACACAACGTCTTGCTTTCTAAGGGCTTGGGGCAGGGGTCTCGCCCCCCGCACACACACTCTTGCTTGCTTGCCTGCTCGGGATCTCGCTCTTCTTCCTTCCTTCCTTCCTTCTTCCGTCTGGGCTGGATCCAGCGAGTTGACCCGCGCCTAGGCGTCCCCTTTCCATCTGCGTTTCAAGAGAAAGGGGCATTGGGGTCTTTATGAATGACGTTCGGCTCATCGGGCGGAAAGGTTGGCGGACCCTTTACTTTATCCCGCATCCCGGCCTCATCTCCGCACCCTCTACGGCCTATCCCTAGATCCTGCGACAACCATTCCCCCACCGGGTGCTTCCCTGCTTTGTTGCTGGGGTCAGGCCTTGTCAAGCACTGCTGGAATCCAACACAAGTACAGGACTAAGTGCTCGGCCTTTCCCCCAGTCTCTCTCTCTCTCTCTCTCTCTCTCTCTCTCTCTCTCTCTCGCTCTCGAACAAGCACACTACGTCAGCTGGTTTAAGCTCCATGTATCCCCGTTTTGCACTTCCCTTGTCAGTGGTGTGCATCTGGCCCGCAACGAATCCGCTTTCCCTGCGTCCTCAGCTCCAGTGGAGCCAGATCTGTCCTTCTCCTGGGTGCTGACCATAGTGGCCTCCTTGACTTGAAGCAACTCGCCACACCGCGCAGCACCAACTTAGGCATGTACACAAATACCACAGACATGACGCAAAGCGAGCTACAGAAGCTGCAAGCGCTACAGAAGCTGCAAGCGGTCGCTGCGTGTGTTACCGTATAGCTAGCTGACTGGAGGGGTTGGTGCAAACCCAGGTTTGCATGCTCCGCTGGGGGGCATCCATGAAGAGAACGTGCGGAGTTAGCACGTGCTCCCCTGCAAACCACTTTGCACTATGCATGGCCTCTATTCTAAAGTTCTTCCCTCAACAAACTGCACATTTGACACTCTGGTCCAATTTCTGCAGCGAATCTGTATCAGGTTGACCGTCTGAATTACCTACGCTCTAGCAAATCCGTCTGAATTATTCAGAAGTGAGATTCTCAAGCTCAATCAAGTTGCGCTTGTGGTGCTGTACAAGGATTCCAGGGTAAGCAGCCGAATGGTGGAGATTGCAAAAGCCTGCGCATGCTATCCGGTAGCGAAAGCTTGGAGCCACGCAAGGGCACTTGGAAACAGGTCAAAACAAGGGTTGCAGCCTCCTGACAACGCACACACGGAGATATGTGTATATATATATATATGTATATATATATATATACACACGCCTAACTTTACATGTAGTTACTTACTTACTTGGAGACCCGTCATCCTCATTCAGATGTATGTTGTTTGTGCTAGATTGCTGCCTGAAGCTCAAACTCCAGCTGTGTGCCTTGTCGAGTCCCCAAGCTGCCACTGTGTGACCCATGAGCGGCTCTTTGCAAGTATGCGGGAATGATCAGTTCAGGGTTGCTATAATTGCCGCGATGTGTCGGAGCATTGGGTCCGTGAGCATGAAACACGTGACCATGCCACTCCGGGGCAATCCATGGAACATCGTCTTCTTTTCGCTTCAGAAGGCCTCTATACAAGCAAGTGGCGGGTGAAGAACGAACCAAAAACTTACAGCGAGAAGACAGATGTGGAAGTGCGAAAAGAACGAACTCAACACTCGCAATCACATGCTGTCATGCGCAATCAGTTGTAATCAGGTGAAAGTTGAGATGAAGCTGTCGCGGTTTTGTGGCTTTGTCCGAATGGTATTCGGAGAACGACCTAAGAATGTGAGAAGGTCACACCACCATATGGGGTTCTCTCCGAGGGGGCCGCGTGGCAGGGGTGAGCCAAGAACAGCCAAAACTTATGGCAACAAAGAAGGATCGTCAGAAATCTCACCAAGAATCAGAAAACCACAAACCAAAGCTCCCCAGACTTTCCGAGAAACTCCACACCATGCTCAGCTGTTTTCTCGAAAATTGACAAGGAATCACAGACACGTGAATAACACTCCAAAACATTCCAGATAATCCAACAAATCCTGAACACCCGCAAGAACCAATCGGATGATACTCAAATGCAAACGTCCTGAAAACTCCGGTGCTTCAGCAAATTCACATCGAATGCAACTCGAAACCTATTCAAAAAGGCAATAGCAACAACAAACGCCAAACTAGTAAACACAAAACAGCAACACATAAGACTCTATGACAAAATCAAACAACGTCGATGAAATTGCATATGAATCAATTCATGCATCCCATGCATCCACTGTTGAGGGATTAGGGTCCCGTCCTTCCGTAAAGTCGTCGTGCCAGACGCAAGGAATGGCATGTGCTGCTGTTTGCGACTTTGCGAAGTGCAATGCTGGCAGCAACATGTAACACGTTACGGGGATATGGGTTCTGTCCCCATTGAGGATACCAGCTGCGGCCTCAGCCACCCAGGTATTCTTCTTAGCAGGTACGTTAGTTTACACGTCTGCTACTCATGGTCTTCGTTGGTCCCAGCATGAATACCTGGGACACCATGCACTATGAGAAAGGCAGCCACTCGGTCACCATGTTCAGGCGTGCACGCACACACGCACGCGCACACACACACACACACACTTAGGCATCCATCGCGCAGCCACTCATCTGTGGGTTATCAAGCACTGCTTGACGTATCTTGAAAGCATGAAGCTTTCAGAGGTTCCGGAGCCTGTCTGGCCTCAAGGCTTGGCAATTTGTTCTTTGCTGAACTGTACATGATTGTACATGGCAACTGTGACCCTCAAGAACTTGCAACGACTGTTGTATCTTGATCAATCCAGCTGCATACCCGGTGCCCAGGAACTGATCTGCAGGTACGTTTTCCTGGCTATACACATCATACAGAGCTAGTTGGTCCGAGCTGTATGATGTGCCCTCGGACCCCCTGCATTCCAAACAATTGATCTTAGTCACAGAGTTCCACACACACATACAGAAAGCCACATGGGAATCTCTAAATGGATGGGCGATACAACTTCGTCTTCAAAATCCGGACTTGATGTCCGAACCGCACTCCCACCCACACGCACTCCCACCCACGCGCACACCCACCCACACGCACACCCACCCACATGCACACCCACATGCACGACCACACACACAAGCACACCGCCGCACACTCCCGCACACGCACACAGGCGCACACGCGCACGTGCACGCGCACTCGGCGCCTCGTACTCCTCTGCCGCTGTCCGCGCAAAGCGGTGCTCGAAGCCACGCTTGTCTGACACTGCATCCTTCGATCTTCGAACACATGCTCACACTCATGCTATCTCATGCTGCAAGCCCGCGCGGCCTGCAAAGCAGCTGCTGGGCCGCACATTTCCTGAGCTCCCCTCCAGGCAGTTTGGACTTCTTACAGCGTTGCGGATGTCGCGGTTTAAGTCTAGCGCAAAGGCCAGATCGAAGTGCAGAATGCCGCCGGCCTGCCCTGCCAGAATAGAGGATCATAGAGTACTGCCGCAGCCGGCTTGGCGCTACCGCTACGGCGAGCTATGCACGGCCAACCCCGAATGGAGATCAGAAGAGTTGAACAGGTGTGAAGACTTTGTAGTGAGAATGACGGAGCCGTGCCTGCGAGCTCCACTGGCTGGGCTCCCACCAAGCCTTAGCTTCACTTCTGGCGATCGCGGACAGGAACAGCGGACATGAACAAGAACAACTGCCGCTGACACAGCTGAGCTTCCAGGAGCATCCGTTATTATGGCAACCTTGCTGGGGCTGGTGGGCTTTGGCTGGGCCAAGCGAGGACTGCGCTACACATCTACCTGAAGAATTCCAATAATTCCAAGACTTTCAGGAGTTGTCGACTGCACGTCAATGGGAGCCTGAAAGACTGCGTGCGAGCTATGGGCCCAGATCATTGAAATTTCTCTGTTGCGCTCGGTTCAGAGGCTTGTCGTGAGAAAGACTGTGAGGACTCGGCAAAGGACCTCTTGGAGGGCAGCCTGAGGGCTGAGATGGACATTTGCGGGATACAAGGATCACGCAGCCGATGTCAGCCAATGGTTCTGCCATGCGACCTTTTGCGCGCCGACTTCCTTGGC